TAATAGACAGAATGTAGTCTTGCTGGCATCAGTGCACTCTTGTGTTTTTTTATCTATCCTAAATTAAATTAACATTGTATAAGATTCATGGGGATTTAGTGGTGGCTTCAGTGTTCATTGTACAGGAGGTTTTTACCAGGAGCAAAATTATCCGCAGAGGTCTCTTCCTCTCCAAAACAAACAGACCAGGTGATTTAAACCAGTAAAAACACTGAATAAAGACATTTTACATTACAAATCAGTGTTTCGTCTATGCTGTTTGGCATGTCAGAGATGGGCTGCTAACCCAGCACCACTACCAGAGTAAAAATACTTATTATATTCCATTTATGCCAATATATGCCCCAAAATCCAACACACTGCACATTTAATCGCGTTTACAGACCTTTTTTCACTTTTGTTATTTGAACTTGTCAGAGAAGTAAAAGCACAGGTGGAACTGATAATGTCGACGATGCCTTGGTTCCTCCAATTACTGCAATACAAGGCAGTGATTTCAGTATGTTAGTAGTTACACCTGTGTTTGACAGGTCAAAATGTCTGGTGTGATAAACAACTCTTCAACTTTGGTTTCACTCCACATTTTCCCCTCGCAGTGGGCCCTTTAGAGAGGCCAATCCACCAAAATTGGAAACCATTTAGGGCTGCAACTGCAACTTACAAGTGTTTCCAGTAATCCATTAGGACTATATGGTCTCTTCCAATTACAAGGTTAACATATACATTCCCAAAAACTCTTTGTAAAAGACTAGTAGACATAGACACAGATGTAGATAACAATTTTTTACTGGACTTTCTATGAACTGCAGTAATGAGGTAGCAATGACGCAATGAGGCAACTTAATTGGCCCGAGGGTTGTTGTTTCAGAAAAAGAAAAAGGAGAAACCTTCATGTTCTGCACTCTACTGTTTCCTTTTATGAAGTTCTTGTGTGTTTCCTTGCAAAACTAAGAAAACAGGCATGGAGGGAAGGATTTAGAAACAGGACTGACTTTCTAGAGATGTTCAGAGTGAACACACAAACACAGTCACACAGGAAGCATGGTCACAGCATGCCTGAGGGAATCCCCATACACCATCCACAAAAAGACGTTTGTTCTCGGTTTCCAAGCCAACTGTGTATTCCACAAAATGAGCAGCCAAAACCTGCAACTCTAAAACTCATCGCAAGACATGGGCTACAAACACACACTCTCACCTCTGTTGCAGGAATCAAAACTTTTATCACATGATTATTACGCTTCGTAACCTCTTTGCGTCACAGTGCTGAACATGATCATCATAAGACTAAAGCAGAATAATCCCAAGGGAACAAGAGTTTATCTCTTATACAAACGTCTCCAGCTCAACTCTATACAGCCAGAGATGTAGGACTGCTGTGCTGTGGGATGAAGTTTGTCACATAATGGGAAAGTGGGGGAGTTACCAGATGGTTTCAGTTATGACAAAAAGAAAACAAGTTATCAGCAGACCAGCATCAATCTGCACTGACATCAAGACAGATGTCACACCTCAGACATGGAAATAAATACACACACACACACACACACATTTAGAGGCACGTATGCAAACACAAATGCAGCATCAGCAGGATCCTAAATCTCAAACCACTGCGCCTAATCCCTCATTATTGCAGTCAGTTACAAACCACTATCAGCCAGCAGCACTGCTATCGATTCAAAAGGAGAAAAAATAAAACTTTTGCTTTACACACATGTAATTATACATCAATTAAAAAGCATGCTTTCTTTTTGCACAATGTGGCAATTTCCAGGAGAAATAAACAGGCTCATACACACACAGCTCCAAGGCAAGGACAGTCAAGGAAGCCATGCTGCAGCTGTCCAACTGGCACCGCTCCTCATCCGCCAGCACACAAAAGGAGCCGCACATGACTGAAAACCCATGTGTTCCTCAGGACAATGTCACACTATTTTGTAATGCCGGCAATTTAGAAAATCCAAGCCAACATATGGGAGTTGAATTCGCGGCATATAATCGCTCCATAATGACCTGTCCTCTTTACTGTAGCGCTGCCAGTAACGCTGTAAATTGTTTCAGTGCATTCAGAGACATGCCAGAGCGTCACAGTTAGCTATAGGTTACAGCTGCTGGGACAAGCGCAGTGAATGAAAACTGGCGAGACAGAAATTAAAGAGTTAAAAAGGTGGTGATAAACCAAAATGAACGGCAGCAATACAAAATAACTAATTAAACAAAATTAAAAAGATATAGTCCCCAGAGGGAACAGAGGGGAGGGGAGTTAGCAGGCTAACCGGTTAGTTACGTTATCCGTGTTAGCTAAAATGACCGCCGCCGGTCCTCTGCTCACCACAAGGTCCACGGAGCTCCTCACAGCCTCCGACACGCTCTGCCTGACTTCCGCGGCCGTCCCGGGTTTGCTTAACCTCTTTGTGAATTTTCGCACCTCGGACATTGTGCCCCTCTGCTTAAAATCCACTTCGTATGTCCCGGTGTGAGTGTGAGCATGCCGCGGTACCGGACGGAGCGGCAGCGATGAATGTGACAGCCAGATGTGGGTTGTGTTGGAGGTGAACCAGCTAGCGGTCCGCGTCGCGAGGCGGGGCTGCTGCTGCTGCTGATGAGAGAGCAGAGAGGGGTTAACACGGCGAGATGCTTCACTCCTACCTACTTCCGTTTGTCCTCAGCGGAGCAGACATAACCAAAGATCGTTTATGTGGACAAGACGAAGGAGTGGGCGTTAACCTGACAGCGTCAAGCTTTACTTATGTGGAAATATTAATCGTAATTCCTTAAATTACAGGATAAAGACAATTTTTGTGAATTGAAAGTAATGAGGTGGAAGAAAGATGATTTTTTTTGTACAGTTGTTTATTAAGGGACTGTTAGTTACTCCAGGGGGTGTTGCAAAAAGTAATATAAAAAAATATAAAATGTATAAAATAATTATTAAGCACTGGGGATGGACTTAGGGACTGTTCTTTAGTTATCAGAGGAGCGGGGGGGTGCCTATGGTATGACTTTGTTTATTGTTTTTATCCTTTCCCTCCCCAAAGCTACAAATGACTGACTGGGGTAAAATGCATGATCCTCCTTCCACCATGAATAAACTTTTTTTTTTTTTTTTACATATATATAAATATATACACACAGGCCCGAAATACACACACATGCACAAACAGGACCTTTTTACATGCATTAAGTGGGGAGATGCTTGTCAATACAATAAATAGTTGTAGTTTGTATTTACTTCACCACTGAAGATAACCTGCTAGGCATGTTTTCTTTAAAAATTGCCAGAACAACATCATTTATCATAGCCAGAAACTTTAAAAACAGAAAGTGTCACTGGATTTTCAAAATAAAGTTTCAAAAAAGTGTGGGGACATTAGGCTACTATAAGTAGTAGTAGTAGTAGTTCTTTAAACTTATCAGAGTTGCTTCTGTTGTGCCATGTGATGGAAGTCAGCTCATCTGACAGCTTGAATAAGACACAAATGTGCAGAAATTTAGAGTGACAAATAACAAATATGTTCTACTGTGTCTCAGGTGCTTCTTTTTGTGCTGTTTTTATGAGAGAGGAGGGGGGTGGTGAGGAAACGGGGGGGGGGGGGGGGGGGGNGGGGGGGGGGGGTACTTCAAATATGCTTTTAAGCACTGGGGATGGAGTATGTTTTTTGATTTGGCTTAGGGGAGGGACATTCAACTTTAAATGGTCATATTTTGTATTCATTTTCATTTACTCTCAGAACCCCAAAACACTCAAGTGGGTTTGAAAGGTATGATTTCTTTAAAAATCTCCAAAATCACCGCAGTTATCATAGCCAGGAACTGTGTTATATGGTTATTTACGGTGAAGGGATCATGACATTTATACAAAAGAAAGAAAGAAAAATAAAAGTCAAACCTCACCCAACCCCTTACTTTGATAAGTAAAGAACAGTCCCTTTTTTTTTTTTTTTTTCAAAAAAGCTGTATGTTGTAAAAGAGTAGTAAAAGATCAGCAAGGCAGAACAAGGTTGTCTGCAAGATGTACAGTATTTCTAATGGGAAATATGACATGACCACCAGTTGTCAACATTTACAGTATACTGCCATCTTGTGGATTAAGATGCGAACTGCTGCTGCAAAATTGCAATGAGCTGAGCATTTTTCCCAGCTTTTTTTCCTCAACAAAAAATCTACAAGACAGCAAGTTTAACGGTCCAGTGTGCGGGTTTTACAGGGAGATATTGGCAAACATTTATTATAGTATTATATAAGTATAATAGTTTATAATAACCTGAAAGTAAAAGTCGTGTTTTCGTTGCCTCCGCAATGCTATTTGTTACTGTATCCCAGAGTAGACAAATTAAACACCAGTGCTGCATCCAAAATCCCACACACTGTACAACATTCCCAATATGTGTAGACCCTGCTGTCGTTCAGCATAGTTTTGTGTAAATAAACAGAGGCACTAAGCTGTAATTACATCACTTCCTGAGAGCCTCCATGCCAGTTGAAGATGTGAAACCATGGTAACCCGTGCCAACTTAAGCTCTACTGGTCATTTTAAAATAATTTTAAAACTGTATTATGCCCAGCAAAGTCAAGTCCTACTATTATGATTCAGAGCTGTCTTAGCTGCTGTCCGTTATGAATGTTATCCTCTACTGCATTGCATTGTGGGATATTTATGCTGGCTTAGTGTATAGTGCTTGCATACTGCATGAGTGCACTGGATATAATATGCAATGGTAAGCTTTCATACCAAGGTTTCCGACACACTCAAAAAATCTCATACTGTTTTAGGGTACTAAATAGCATGTTAGTGTTGAACTTCAGACACAGCCTGACTCTAGATCAGGCTCAACTGCAGCCCATGGCCCCCCGCCGACACCCAAATCTGAAAGAATGCTGCCTTTATGTTTGGACAGTCTTATATATATTATTTCCACTGTGCAGCTGCAGTGAGAACAGATATTATATGAATATAGGACATAATAACTCTTTTTCAGACTCCTAGTAATAATGCATTATTTTAGTTTATTCTGAGGTTTAAATTGCAAGATACATACAAATGGTCACCCAACTTTAGGCACATGCTACTGTGTATTGATACCTGAGGTAAGATGTTAAGTCAACTTCCACAAAATGTACCTTGAAACCTTTATTTCAGGTGAAGTTAGATTGAGTCACCTAGCAGATGCAGCTTCTACCAACAAGGAAGCCACTGTTAGAGCAACAATACATTGCATTGTCAGTATGAATATAGTGATTCTCACCTCTTTATACCAATATAGAAAGCAATCAAAGGTGACCATGCAGTCACATGCAAGATAGTTAGAGCTTTGTGTAGAACTGCATCTTAATAAAAGAGTAATAAATACTAAATACCTTGAAAGCAGAAATACTGATCGCCATGGCGATGCACTGAAGATTCTTGACTATTTTAAGAAAACTGAATTTATTTAAGTAATTAAACGACATTGTTAAGTTAGGAGCTGTAACTGAATCCTTAACCCACTTACTGCTGTACATGTTACACAGTTCTTATAAGCCAAGTCCACACAGTTTCTGTGTCAAGCATCCAAAAGCCAGCATTTCAATGTGAGCAATGACACACCATGAAAAGGGAATGGCCGGCTGTTGTCCCAGCAACAGATCTGATCTTCATTTGTCCTTGTACTGGGTGAACTCCTTCAGAGCCCAGTGTTTCATTTCTATCTCCTGCCGTAATCTGCAGTACTCCTCAGCCAAGGCCTCAAACTCTTTACCCAAGATCTCAAAGGAGGCCAGCTTCAACTCTACAGACTGCTTCTCCACCTGACAGGCCTTCAGCTCAGAGTCCAGCTTCTCTCTGAAACACAACAACAAAAGATTATTAGGTTTTTTGGAGAGGTGTTAGCCACACAATGTTCTTTCTTTAATAACTTTTCTGCAAGCTTGATGTCAGAGGCTTAGAGTTCAATTGTGAATGATAGTAAACAGTATGTATTCCCTCAGCTACTATGACTGAGTTAGTGCAGTGGGGCATATGAATCACACATGGGGAATTTCATGATAAATGTAAGAAATAAGTCAGAGAGATGGACAAGCATCTTACCTTATTTTTTTATGAGCAGATATTGAGTCCACTGTGTACGTGTCCAGCTGAATTTCCACCATCTCGGTCCTTTGAGGTAAGAAGAGAAGAAAACTTTTTTAAAAATTTGAAACACACAGGACTTTCTGGATCAGGGCACCAGTAAATCTACACAGTCAAAATGTTTTTAGGCAGGCAAATGAAAACTCCTTACTTGATCTTCTGTAAGACTAATCCACATTTTCCCTCCAAGTAGTCTAACTTCTTCCGGTCCAGATCAGTCTGGATCCTCAGCCTGTGGTCCAAGATGAGAGACTGAAGAAGCTGAATACACTTAATCAGTTCCTGCACACAAGTCAGCAAGAGGGAAAAAAACACTGAAAGCAAAATATTGTTGTTGTTTTTTTTTACAAACTAAACAGAACACATGTATGGCTTGTACACACATAATTTCCTGTGTGTGTACCACTTCAAAACAAAAAAACAGAGGAAATATATTTGCTTGTTTTTGCTAAGTTTGTGTAAGCACTTACGGATAGGTAGAGTTGAGTCTGTCTTTGCAGGAGAACTGTGTTTTCCCGGCAGGTCTCCTTTAGACTCTCTGCTCTTTTCTTCTCTTTGTCCAGCTGAGCTGACAGGTGGGACAACTTGCTGCTCTTCAAACCCTCACTCTCATTCTCTACATGACATTACAAAAAAGCATCCTGGTCATCGTGTCAATGCAGAACAATGACGTGATATAAAGGTCATGAAAGTGAAAGAGAATATTTACTAGTGAAGAAATAAATACTGTACCCCATTCAGGTTGATAGTAAGAGAGGAGGCCCATGCACTTTTTCTTTAGATGTTTCTCCAGTTCTCTGGGAAGACCCTGTTTCATCCTTTGAACATTCTGGTAAATACAGTATAATGGGTGAACAAGCTGCATTTGTTACTGAAGAATCTCTCTATTAATGGTCAGCTTTCTTTTCCGAAAAGAAAAAAGTCTGCTTTTGTATTTTTTGCTCTGATGTCATCCATCTATCAATCATTTTATTAATGCTTTACAAATTCACACTTAACACCATATCACCAACATGAATCACTGTGCTTTAAGTATGAAGGCAAATTAATTTTAATGACTCACCTTCTCTAATGGCATGAGCTCCATCACATGTTGGGGGTTCAGACCCAGAACTGAGGGCTGCTCTTGGTTGGTAGTGCTACTGGGATCCAGTTGTCTGATACACTGAGCCACCAGCAGTGACTTCTCCATTGTCTCATAGAACTACACACACACAGTCAGTGATGTCACGTTGGTAAACACAAATGTGCTAATATAATATCACACAGTAGATTCCTGAAAACTGTGACCTTTAGCTTCAATTTGTAAATGCAAGGGGCAAAATGCTAAGTGGAGCTTTACTTTACAAAAAACATATGTTGTCCATGATTCGCTAACAACTGTTTGGGCATTTGTGAACTATACAAATAAGTATAAATGTACCATGTTCTGGTCTGGAGGTAGAGTGGCATGGTGCTTCCTGATACAATGCTCCTGGATCATCTCCTGCAGCCCTTTGTGGAGGCTCTCAGAGCGCAGCCAGTGACGCCTCTGGCTCTGCAGCTTCTGCTCAGCCTGGAATAAAGAATCTGTAAGTGCTCACAGACAAGTAAAACTTCATACAAACTCAGACCTGTGCACAATTCGCTCACTCAATTTTAATTTTTTGCAAACAGCTTGCATTCAAAACTTTTAGTTTACTAAAATACAGTGACAGAAAAGTTTTGAGGACACCAGACACAGAATAAATGTGCCACATGACCCTTGTCTGACAGGAATTTTATGTCAGTTTTACATTACTTTTTTTGCTGTTTAAGCATTTAATTCTATGTCATATGAACAGAAAACATTGAGTGCACATTTTACAACATTTTTCTTTAATTTCATTGAACTATACAAAATATATTGTGAAAAGCTTAGGTTTCTCAATTGCAAGAATAAACCAAAGAGATGAATTCTGAATCAGGAATTCACCTCAGGGCAACCTTATATTAGACAATCTAACATCCACACAGGTGGGAAGTCACTAACTGTGTATTCAACCTAACATGGCACAAAATATCTTTTACTTCAGCATTAACTGTAACCCATTAGAACAATTGTGAAATACATAAACATCAATCACTGCGTAATGGGTAATGTGAGTGATTTAGAACACATTTAAACACAGTTTTCTTCAGCCTATGGCCTTAAACACACAGCATGGTGGAAAACTCCACCCACTGAATTAAACTTATTAGGCGAAATCAGCTTTATAAATTTTAGTCAAATTAACTCAAAACTTAGAAATTGTTGACTTAACATAAAAAAAACTATGTCAAGCTCACATGGGATGAGTTTTTGTGTCAAGTGAACATTAAGTTTTTATGTCATTTTGACAATCCGGGGCATTTTTTGTGTGAACTTTATATTAAACATTTGTGTCATGAATGGATTTGGGTTCACAGTGCAGCATGAGACAGGGTCCATCTCTGTGATTGCAATTCTCACTGGTTACCTGTAGAGGTCGGTAAGTCATAGACTATTTACTGTGAAATAAAACATGAATAACTTCTCTTCATAAAGTGACAAATGCCTGCTGATACCTTTTCCAGCTCTGTTTTTAGAGGAACAGTGAGTCCACTTTGATCCACATGTTGTGCCAGGGTGACCAGGAGTTTACAGAACTGAGGGTTCTGGGTCAGTTCCTCCTCTGTAATGTCACACAGAGGGAAGGAGGCGAGAACTGGGGGAAGAGCAGGGAATACAAAACTTATTATCAATGGCCAAACAAAATCACTGTCAGAAGATTCTCAGCAGTAACGTTACAGCATTCAAACGTCAACGAAGTTATAACTTCTAAAGCTTCTCTCACATTTAACCTAGGTAGATTACTTTCACCTTTAACTGCTAAAAAAACTCGTCTTACTTTGGTTACATGAATTAGTAATATGGACGCGCGGCGTCAATTCAAACTTTAGAATAAATTAGGTGTCAAGCCACAACATTTGCATTTTATCAGAGTGAGTTAACGGTTTAAGGAGCAGCTAACGTAAGTTGACTGAGTATTTTCTTACCCTGTTGATGCAAACTGTCACCATTCCCAAGCGACGATACATGTGTAGACTCAGGACCAGCGGACATTTTCAGCTGAATTGTATGCCTTGTTAACCAAATAACTGATCAATTTTTGGACTTTTGTAAAGTTTACTCGATAACTCGAGCACAACATAAAAATGAAATGCGTACTTCCTGAATCAAGTTGCGCGCGCCTGAAAGAAGCGTTCCTATTGGCTGGCTGGCCCATGTGGCCATGCTGCGTGAACTGCATGCCACTCGCGAGAGCGCGCACTGCGAAAGAGACAATTACATTTTAATTATTTGTAGGAAAAACTGCCGTGTAGCAACAATATAACCTTAATTGGCATTAATGGTTATAAATGATGTGTAGTCTAGATTTGAATTACATAAAAATACTGCCTGCATAATAAGTTAAGGGCTCTACACTAAACATTTACATACACAGAAAAAATGGCATTATATGGTACTAAATAAGTTCATCATTAGAATGCATCTTCAGTGTATTTTTTCATGTTAAAATCAGTTTAACAACCAGTGTTGGTGAAGCTTTACTTTCAATGCATATTGCTTCCCCAGGCTACCATTTCACACTGGAAGAAGCTGAACTATAGCAAAGCGAAATTATAACAAAATATAATACAAAAAAGTCACAGGCCAGCAAAAACTGGGGTTCAGGTGGAGGTATTGCACCAAGTAGGATTACTCAGCCAGGCAAATTAGCATGCAACAACTTCTATAAACATTTGTTGGGCTAATAAATAGCAGTGATGAATATATCTGACTAATTGACACTGCCAGGCATTCACCCCCAAATCAAAAATACAAGTTTTTCCTCTTACCTGTAGTGCTATTTATCAATCTAGAAAGAATATAGTTCCTACATGAAACTGCTGACAACCAGGTCTGTGGATTATCTTGAGTAACCAGGTCATGATTTCTGAAAATAGACATTGTTGTTGAGTTTTTCAAATGCATTTATTTGGCACTTTGAGCACCACAAGCTGGGTGTTATCTAGTTGCGCTGTACTGAAGAGAAGGCAGACATCTATATGGCCGATATCTCCAAAATTCAGCAGCTAACACCAAAACAATCTAGACTGATATATAGCACTACAGGTAAGTGGATGTGCTTTTGATTTCAAAGTGAAATGTCCCTTTAAGACTGAGTGATATTTACACGCAGGCCTGGATCAGAAAAATTGACAAAGAAAAGTTTCACAGCAGTTCAGTATGGATGGTAAAGATAATTTCCATGCTGTGCTATAGTCTGTCTTTTACGATGTTCAGCTCCCTGCCTCTCTCAGTTTGGATCTGTGGCTAAAACTCTGCTCTAAGTCCTTCCACCAGATGGACTACTATAACAGCTCTTTCTCTGCCAGAGAGGGCGTCATCTCAGCCATCTAGAATGCACTCATGCACTCCTGTTACGCCATGCCTCAAACATATTCTTCAGGGTGTGAATGAATTTCATTGATAAACCAAATGCCATTTCTTTAGTTATGCAAGTGCTGGGATGGAGAAGTGATAAGAACAGCACAGTGTTTGTGACAATTGAAATCTTTACGACTGGCGAGGCTAGCTTCTGATGGTGAGCATTTACTATGTTGTTCCCATCTAGATTATGAAAATTCAGTCTACTCTGTCACCCAAACATAAACTTTAAGAATTTTCTCAACCCAAACCCTACAGCCAAATGTAGGCCCTGATGTGTAGCTAATTACTGAAGAATTTACAAAAGGAGCATCAATGTTGGGCTAAGCTTTGTGATAAAGGGACCCTGGGAAAAAAACATGCTCCCTGAATCTCACCCTCAGTCTGTTATGTTGTTTGCTTCAGGAAGAGTGTGTCATGTTTTGGTGCTGGTAATAATTCTCCTCGTCCGCGTCATAATTTTAGATCTGATATTTTCTTGCCCTTTGCTCTGACCATCAGCTGGCACCAGCATGGCCAGTTGTTGCTGCTGGTGTTGGCAGTGAAATAACTTGCTTTAATAGAACTTGTTGAACTTTCAGGCAGGGGTGATATTGCAAGAAGAGGTCTTTTTTTGATTAAGGTCAATAAAGTTTTATATCCCTCGTGCTAGATTTGTTTCACTATTTGATGCAATTGCTACAGGGGTAAAGAAAATTAATTCAAGATCAATTGGCAATATCCCTCTACCAGTCACTTGACTGGCAGACATAGGTGATCCTAGACTGTGGAGGGCCCCAAGCAAAGAAACACACTGAGTTGCCTCCTGTGTTTTTGCATTGACACCAAATCCCCTGTCATCATCTTATCAGTCCACTGTCCTTACTTTTGTTCCATGATGCAGCAGAGACTTTCAGTATGTAATTATAGCGCCTGCGATCCAACTAAGTATTGATAAAAAAAGTAAAGCAATTGTGAAGGCAGTGGGCAAGTATTTTTATCAGTGTATTCCCGAACATCATATAACACCAGTAACACCAACTCCTGTGCAAAGCCTAGTTTATCATTATCATTACAAAATGTGCCAATATTGTGCCACCAGGGCCCCTTTTCCCAAAATTTGCGTGGTTTGCTGTTCCTGGCAGTGTGCCCTTGCTAGCAGGGGATAAGTAGAGGGATGACTTAGGCTCACAATTAATATAATCATTCACTACATTTATCAAATAATTTCTTAATATAAGTGCTTGAGAGTTAATTAGAAGAAATTACACAATGCCTCGTCATTTGTTGGGTCTCTGGCTGGTGAGTCTAAAGACACCCCCTGTCTTGCTATTGTCAATAATACCTATTCCAGACTTTTATTCTTCTAAATTCTTTGTTAGGCACAATTTCACAAGACTTTCTGCAAGACTATTAATCATATAATGATTAATTGAACAGGCCCCTCACATTCTCTATCTGTATTGAATCTGGGGTTCCACAACTGTGGGTATTTCCCTGTAGATCTACAGTATGGCTTTCCTCCATGACCTCTGGCCTCTCTCGTGTGCTTCTCACAGCTGTTTCCTTGCAGCAGTCCTTGCCCATATCTGGTCGTCATGGTGCAGCATTCCTGGTGCTTTGGAACTATACTCTTACCCAGGGGCATTGCAGTGGGGGGAGAGTGGGACTGATTACTGGGGGCACCAATGGGAAGGGGGGCCCTAGAAAAGCTTGGAATGACAATTTTGGGTTTGTTTACAGTTTTTGTATTTATAAGTATATAATGCCATAACTAAATTAAAACTGGTTGTATAAATCACTTGGAAGAATGAAATCTCTATGAAAATATAGTAGAGGCTCTCCAAGGCCCCTTTCACCCAGGCCCCCAGGAAGCCATTTTGCGATAGAGAAGGCATGACCTGCCCTAATCTCCCTCTGATTGGCTAAGAATTACCTTTGTTGGTTGGACTGGTTAGGTTTAGGCAAGAAGAGTGGGATTGGTTAGCCTCAGGCTAAGAATGTCAAGGTAAGCTAATCAGACGCCGAGTATGTCAGAGAAGGGCAAAACCCCCACAAAATGACAAGTTTCACTATTGGGATTTGATCCATTTAGCCTGATAACATTTCAAAAGTGTAGGAGAGCCATACGATTAAATCACTTTATCCCCATTCAAGTAACAGAGCGCTAAATCATTAGTTAGCCATTTGACCAGTTGAAGTTATCCACTTGGTTGTACTCGGCTGTGCTTGGCTGCTGTAAGTCTCTAGTGTGTCTGGCTATGGGCCACATGGTGCAGAAGTAGTGCCAATCATCCCTGGATCATCCGGATAATTTTAAACACGGCACTTGAACCATTTTGGCTTCATACGCCACTGAGCAACTCTAATAACAATGAACAGGGCCCCACGTTTAACGCTGTATCCAGTCCTCTTATTACAACCATGCTCTCACTCCTAAAGGCACAAAATGGTTTAGTCCACCCTTACACTTGATTGCCTTTAAATGAAGCTAGAGCAAAGTGACTGACTGCTTATGCTGCTGGAGCACTGACATACACTATGATGTCTTCCCCAAAAAATGGTAAACCAAGGTTCCAAAAAAGAAAAGAAAGAGAAAAAAAAGGGAAAGAAGCAAACTGACTTTGTAAAAAAAAAATCAAAAGTTGCGAGAAAGACATTGATCAAGAAAGGATGGGTAGGGGGGCCCACAGAGACTTCTTATGCATACGGCCCACAATTTGGTGCCAAGCCTCTGCTCTTACCTAACTTTGCCCCAATACAGTGCAGCCACTCAAAGTTTTGCGGGTCTAGACAAGATGACGAGATGTGCCAATACGGATATGAAAAAGTAATAATTCAGTGTGTTTGTTCCCCTTTTCAGTCTGAATATGGCTGTTTGGGGCATATAATGTAACTTTTGCTTGATTTACGATATGTATAGTAACTTCACTGTGGTGCTGTTTACACAATGGCTGGTGGTCCTCACTCATCAATGAGTGGGCAAAATTAGATATGGAGCCAGTCAATTTGAATACAATTATAAATGACATGGAGTAAAACCAATGGTTTGTGTCAGGATGCAACTCTCTAGATTTTATTGGTCACGTTTACGGACCAACCCTTATTTGCTAAACCAATTAAAGAAAGCTAGTGTTGATTGCCGAGGTCTTTGGCCAATCATAATGCTGGGTTCCCTAATGGGCGGGTTTTTGTCATAGAGGGGTGGGGTGTGCGAGGTCATTCAGCCCCTCTCTGATTCACTCTATCGGCGTGTGTTTGTGGGGACGGGTAGTTGGAGTAAGGAGTCGCCGGGCGGCAGTGCATCTCAAACGCTTTTTGGGGAAAGAAACGCCGCTGAAAAATTGCACCGCAAACTGAAGAAACGACCCCCGGTGACGGCTTCTGTGAAATAACTGAACGCAACGACTGCGCCACACGCACAACCAACAAACGCAGCCAGGCTATCACATGCTAGCCAGCTAGCATCCCTCAAAACTGACGGGATCAAGGTGTTGATAGCTAGCCTCCCAGCTAATTATCCAGCAGCTAGCATCCTCCTGCCGTAGCATCATTAGCTTGCTTTTCCTCCTCGCGCAGACTTCACCGTTGCTCGTGGCGGTGCCTTTTCAGCTCGCGAGCACCAAACCCCACAATCAAACAAAAACAGAAAACGGAGCTTCCTAACTAGCTGCTGCTGGAAACGGCGTCTGCGTTGCATTAGTTAGTTGACACCATCACACCCATCTCCCCAACCCCTTCACCTCTGCCCCTCTGCCTCCACCCGAAACACTGGAAATCCACAAGCGGCCGGAGAGCGGCGAAGGGCCGGCGAAGCTGGGGGTGGTAACGTTACAGGACTCGCCGGGAGTCGTAACGGCTACAGACAAGCTCAGCCGTGGGGACCTACCGACAAGTATGGACGGGCTGGCCGTGGAAGTTCGCGGCTCGAATGGGGCCTTCTACAAGGTAACCTGGTTACAGTCGTAGCTTCTAGTTGTCCCAGTTAAAAGTTTTGTTTCAGGAAGAGCTGTTGGGTTTTGTTCTCCCGAGCCCAGCCCTAGCTAGCCATTATCTACTCGACTCATGTTAGCATAGGTCCACTTCAGAGAAACAGGGATGGTTTTGCGTTCCATTAGGGTTGGCCATTGTGGGGTGGGTAGCTAGCTCCAGCTAGCTGTTAAGCTAGGCACACTTGTCATCACTATGTATGGCCTATATTTGGTCGTTTTTGAGAATTGTCAATACGAATACAGGCCATTCCTCTGGAGCCAGATTCCCATTGTTTTGATGTGGCTTACAGTATTTCTCATAGCATATTACTTTGTCTTGCACTGTGGGTTACAAAGCATTTAAAACCAAAGCGAGCTGCTAATCAGACAGCTGTTGTGCAGTTTCTGCGTACAAGTATGATGAGAGGCTACATCAAAGCTCACATACTTTATATTTGTTTTGTCCCCTAACCCACGTTCCTGCTACACTACTGAACCTTTAGTCCTATGTTTATTTCTCCGGCAAGGAAGAACGAGAGTCAGAGTTTCTGTTTCATTTCTGCCTAATTATCAGAAGAAAGTGTAGTTTCAGATCCAGACACACGACTTCAATCATTGTTGCTGCTGTGTCACAGCTTGTTTTCAAACATCACAACAAGATGGCAACGCCATGACTCATTTGATTATTAGACAGCTTAAATATCAATGTTTTTGTTGGTCACACATAGAGATTTTAGTCTTGGTGAACGTTGTAGGTTCTGACATAATTTGAGATTTCATTGGATTTTAGTTAACAACCTGATTTAGGAAATTCTATCCTGTGGAGACACCCTAATGTTTGGGGAGAGGCAAACAACCCCACTCCTGCTCCTCCTGCTTTCTAGTCTTAACCTTTTGTGACATCTCATATTTTCATTGCTCTCAGTTGAATTTATTTCTCCATGTGCTCGTCTTCTTCTCTTCTCTCTCCTTGGGTGTTCAGATGGTCAACCGACCACATGGTGCTTTAGAGATGAGCCTATATTTACTCTCCTCATGTCGCTTCACCTGTCGTTCTGTTTTACAGGGTGACAGTTTGGCTCTGGCATGAATGAACACTTCCACGCCTCTCTATTACGTCCATTATCTCACAGCTCTCATTTTGTGGATGAGATGGACTCTTTACAGTGGTAGTGAGTGACGTTCTAAATGTCATATTCCAGTAGATATGTTGTCTTTGATGGGAGAGAGTGTGGGCAAAAAACTTTATTACTTTTTTCCCTGTTGTGATTGACACATGAAGTAAAATGATTTTGCTTCTTGGGCGCACTTCATTCACCTTGGTGTCAGTGTGAGTCAGTTAGGTTTTTTTCTTTTTAACTATGAATCAGGATCACATTTATGAACCTGTCAGGGCAATACAGCACCTGTCAGGAAACTGGCACTTTGTCTTTTGTATAGGCTGCATCTTTTGCAGCAGCAAGCACATACCAGGCAAGCTGATAAAAGCCTAAATGAGGATTCAAACAGTTTTGTATTCTGTTAAAAGGTCCAGTGTGTAGGACTTAGGGGGACCTATTGACAGAAATGGTATATAATATTCATAATTATGTTTTCATTAGCGCATAATCACCTCAAATAAGAATTGTTGCATTTTCGTTACCTTAGGATGAGCTGTTTATGTCTACATACAGAGCGGGTCCTCTTACATGGAGTCTGCCATGTTTCTACAGTAGCTCAGAACGGACAAACTGAACAGACGCTCTAGATAGAGCTATTTGTGTTTTTGCGTCAGTCACTGTGTTATCCTACACACGTGGCACACAGGAGAAGTTTCATTTCTGCAACCTCACTGCTAGATGCCACAACAACCTAAGCACTAGACCTTTAATTGTGAGTAACGTTCCACATTAGTTATTTCTTTTTTGGCTGGATACATCAATAATGATCTCAGTTTTGACATTTAAATTTTAACATAAGCAGGTTGAACAAATAGAGTAGTGCAGGAATGAGTCCTAAAACCTGGAAATGAGCTAGCTTTTTAGCACTCCTTGTTCCCTCGTCTCAAAGTCGATGTTTTTTTTTTTTTAAATTGGTTTTTGGTTAGATGCCTGAAATAAGGTCTGTGATTAACACACATTTAAGAGACTTTAACATTTTGTTCGATGTTATAAAATACGTCATGAATTTGAAGTTTTAAGCTTTTACTTGTCTTTAAAAAAGACAACTAACTAACACTGCTAAAATGTGGCGAAATAAGACTACAGAACATCATCACGCCGAACACAGCTTTACAGCCTCACTGTGGTGAAGATGTTTAATCATGTGACCATGGTGTAGTAGTGATTGCATTTCCACTTCAAATACCATAAAAGGGGTGTTCATTTGTGAAGATTATTTTGCTGAACAAAACATGCAAGTATCATAAGCTCTTGTTTGCCATAGAGCTTATTTTCTGCAATAATCCAAAATCCAATGGAAAAATCCCATAGGCTTTTTGTTGAGGGAACCAGGGAGGCGCTAACTTCCACGCTGTCCTACAGAAAAACTTCATCCCTGCACCACTATGGGTATATCTAAACGTAGTGACTTCGCGAAATATACAACTATCCCATGTAATCCATTTTAAGGTCGCAAATCTGTCTCTTCTGGTCCATGAGGTTTCGCTCACCACATGGACCTGCATATGGCTGCTGGATGTCATAAGGAAGCTGCCTGTAACCCCTCTCTGCCCCCACCTTCCCACCAGTCATGTTAGAAAGAGGGCATGCCTGCCCCTTGACCTGGTAGTACTTGATGGCAGCAATCCTCTGACATAACATGCAGCTGTCTCCTAACGTGACCTCTGGAAATTGGAGGATGAGCACCTTTTCATCCAGACCTGTTGTCATTGCTGGCTTCTTCCCATGAAGCTAGCCAGCTCTCGTGCCACTAGGATCCTGCAGTGTGAGAGGCAGATGCTAACCATTCATGTAGATGCAGATGTTTTGACTTGTAACTAGGACCATCTCAGAACAGCAGTAGGTGGAGATTGATAGTCAGAGTTGTAGTCAAAGTGGACTACTTTGAGGGTATAAAAATTTGTGTGCCCACACATACATTGCCCCATGATCCAGGCTGAAAGCCTTGCCAGCTTTTGCACTGTAAAGGAAGCACCTTCCCAGCAGGTGAATCCACACCCCCAGTCCGCCCCCCCAGGCATGCTCGCAAGACACTGCCTGACCTCTCTGTCCCATATATGGTAGTGTCAGACTGAGACACGCCACACACCCACCACTTTCCTCTCATCTTGTCATTGCTTGGCACTGGGGGTGTTGCTCAAAGCATATGGCATCCTGCGACAGATTTGTGGATGTTCATGATGGACAAGTCACATGTTTAAGTGATCTCTCTCTTGTAGTAGTAGTAGTAGTAGTAGTAGTCTCCAAGCTATAGCAATAATGCATCCATATGGGCTAGGCTAAACAAGTGCCTGCCTTCCCCATACATGTGCCCTCATGAACATGCTTGTAAACCCACAGTGTTTAACTTGCACACAAAGAAGAAGTGTGTGTATTTTAATTCTGTTTGTTTGTGAGTGTGTGGGAGAAATTTCCAGGCTGTGTCTGTGCTGTCAGGAGGAGTCAGCGTTCATCGTCACTTTATCCAGCACAGAATTCACAGCCAGAGAATTGTGTCAGTGATGTGATGTCTTGGCTTCCCAAAGCTCTAGATGCTCTTTTTTCAGCAGCAGTCACAGTGTTGGTCTAGCACGGCTTACGAGTCAGCTGCCTGTGTTGTTTACATGCAAAAAAAGTCCCCACCCCTCATCACTGTCTGTCTTGTGCATTCATGGGAATAAATTTCTGTCTGTTTTTCTTCTAGGGTTACATCAAAGATGTCCACGAAGACTCACTCACAATTGTTTTTGAAAACAAGTAAGTTTGCTCTTTCTGTTAATCTCACCGTTGTGCCTGCTTTATGACAAATAGTCCATTTATGGGGAAATGAAGCTTGAACTTAATTGAGAGTTGCAACGACAGCTCCATGCTGGTGCTTTACCCAGGCATTCAAAAGTCTCCTCTTCAGCACCTGTGCTTTGCACGCAGCTGTCCATACACGTCTCTAACATTTTTTTTACCTCCTGCTCTGATCCCTCCTGCCCCTGCCATCCCAATAGCATGCTTTCCTATACTCCTAGCTCCACCTACTGTCCCTTTCCACCATCCACCCCCCCCGGTCCCTCTTTATCTACTTGGCTCAGAGTGCAGAGCAGGGTGCCCCTAAAAATAGTGACCCAAGGTATGCAGGGTGGGAGGGGTGGCAGTGTGGTGGCCTCTGTCGTTTTTTTGGATAGCTCCCACCCCCCCACTCCTTCTCCTTTTACTTTCTCTGAGCACATGGAGGTGTTGGAGTAGCTGGTTGTATAAGACATTTAATAAATACACATTATAACACATTATTTGGTCTCGAATGATCGTAATAAGGCATGAAGATTATTTTTAAGATTCAAAATGAGCTTTTTTAGATATCAGTACTGAATGAAGATAGACATTAGCAGGTCATTTACTGAACTTTATGGCACTCCTTATGAGCTATTTTCAAGTTCTTATTTAAAGCAAAAGGACATCATTTCATGAACATAGTCACTCATTGTCCAGACACAGTTCCTTTAACTTCCTCATTAAACTTAACGACCCGTTTTAATTTTTATTTTCATTATGTCTGATAATGTGCTGCACAGCAGTGAGTGGGTAATACGCCCAAGTCTTTGCAATCCTAATATGAGAGGAGGAGAAACAGAGCTGGAGCTGGACTGATTGAACTATGTAACACTATTTGTTACCTGTGGTTGTTGATAAGCTGACAGGCATTTGTGTCTTCTTGCAATAGCTGGCAGCCAGAGAGACAGTTGCCCTTCAGCGACGTGCGGTTGCCTCCTCCAGCCGACTACCACAAGGATATTGGCGAAGGAGAGGAGGTGGAGGTAAGGCATGCCGCTGTGCTTCTCCTCTGATTCAGCTCATCCACCTGGGATTTCACTAACCTCATGTCTCAAGGCCTCTGTGTTTTTGCACTTCAGCAGAAGGATCATTTCTTTGGCTAGTACTGACTTAGTCTGCAACTAATAATTATTTTCATTGTCAATTAATCTGTTGATTACTTTCTTGATTGATCGATTAGTTGTTCAGATCAGTGTTTCTCAAAGCCCAAGACAGTGTCCTCAAATGTCTTGTTTTGCCCAGAACTCCCGAGATATTCAGTTTACTGTCATGGAGGATTGAAGAAGCTAGAGAATACCCACATATAAGAAGACGGAATCGGAGAATTGCGACTTTTTTTTCTTTCTTTTTTTTTAAACATGACTCAAACCGATTAATTGATTATCAAATTAGTTGACACCTAATTGATTAATCATTGCAGCACTGGTATTAACTTTTGACTGACATTTCCAGGACTTTTATATGGCCTGTAAATTATGTAAAAATCTAAAATGAAACTATCTACAGTTATACTTTGTTAAGAGAATGTTTGCTCACGGCTTCTTAAAAGCTCTTTAAAATCTGGATTTATATTTACTTTTTGGTACTTTTGGGCCACAGATTAGAATATGATCAATTATTTTTATATGCATACTGAAAATAAAGAAGTTAAATACATTATTGCAGTTTTGTACAATCAGTTCTTAATTGTAACTATAAAAGTTGCACACTCAAGTCTTTGTTTTACAACATCTCATACTGTCTTTGTTATGTCCAACAATTTTACCTCATTAAGCATGTTTTCTCCATATCATATAATGCAGTTAGTTGTACAGTTGGCATCCTGCGTTGAGCCAAGGCCTTGTTCACTGTTGTCATATCTTCCTTTTGACGACAAACCATTCCCAGCCGTAGTAGAATGTATAAATGAACTATTTTAAACTTCCCTCCATCTGGCCAGCATGCAGATCTCCATGCTCATTCTCCAGCAAAAATGGACCAGCTCCTGAGCTGAACTACAGATTTTGCTTCCACATTAGGACACAAAAATTCTAGAAGCGGATTGAGAGAGCTGCTGAAATGTTTTTAGAAACATATTTTAGTGAACTGTTTCTTGTCTTGTGAAAATGGAGACTGAAAAAACTGAGCTCAAATGTTAAAACTAAGCAGTGCTGATCAAGAATGAACCAAGATTATGTTACTGCAGTGCCCATTTCTTGCACTAAATGATTTAAGAAAAAAACATTTTAGCTTTCCGTTTAATTGTAATTCGAGATCATTTTTACCAGCCGGCTGCCATATTGTTTCCTGAGTCAAAATGGACAAGCTTGCATCATGTCACCAAACTCGCATCATGTCACCAAGCTTGCATCAAGTCACCAAGCTCGCATCACGTCACCCACCAGTGGGAGTGTTTATTGGTCCATGTAGCACCAATTTCAAAAGTATTTGCATCTTTCTTCTGCATAGACAGTCGCGTTATGAAAAAAGACCATATTTCCAGCAGTGAAATACTTCTTCAGTTTGTGTTATAGCTGTTGTCTTTTTTGTCTTTGACTTGGCTATCATTTACTTTGCATCTCCTTACAGGTTTACTCAAGGGCAAACGAACAGGAGCCTTGTGGCTGGTGGCTGGCCCGGGTCAGAATGATGAAGGGAGAGGTAAGTGGGTCCAAGAACCAAGGAACATTATCTTAAAAAAAAGATAAAAAAGTGGGTAACAGGTAGAAAGAAACAACACTTTATTTCGAAATGATTTCATCATCGGTACTAAAGCAAAAGAGGAAAAACGCACTGAGCAAATCCTCTCTACTTTGGAGATGTGTGTTTTGTCTTTATGGTGTTTTTAAATCCCTTTTCCACCCCTGCATGTCTCCATTAATGCAAACCAGACAACAGTAAATAACAAAGAACAACATGGTGCTGTTTTGTTGTCTTGTCATAAACCATGCAGTTGTTGTTTTTTAATCCGGTCTAATTTGCCTAATCTTCACAGTGCCTTGAATACAGTAAAACACCAATGCACTGCAGGAATTATTAGATCCTGTATTTTAGTTCCTGAGGCTTGAAAATTCCTGCAGCTGTTTAGTCAAAAAGGACGAATATTATAAAGAACACGATGCTTTGTAGTGTTGAGAAGATCTAGCGAGGCTAGCTTCCTCTGTATTTAATAATCAGTAATAGAGGTTAGGCTATTATCTTTCACTTTGCCATCAGTGTTTTGTTGCATTGCCAGTAACTGTTTATTGAGCTCTGAGTATGCTGTATGTAGAGTGAATACAGGCCTGTAGTGAGATAAGCACTGCTGGGTAATGAGCTCAAAGAGCCAGTATGTCCTGATGTGGTCTGACATTGTACCTTCATATTATATTTCCCATACACCCTGTGCTTTTTCTTCACACTGACTTCTTGTGACAAAATGGATTTTCACCACTGTCAGTCTAGCAGGCACAGTTGGCTTATTTTGACGTATTTTTTGATAATAATCAAGAACCAGAGCTGGCTCTTAGTCACCAGCCTGAGCTGCAGGTTGAATAGTGGGTCAGTGGGATATGGAAAGGACAGCATTGTAGTGGTACTGTGCCAGGGGAGTTGCTGCTGCTGTAGTGCTGTTATTTGGAGCAGTCTGATAAGAGCCTGCAGGAATGTCTAGCACTGACTGATGGCTTTAATTCTGTCCTTCTGAGCATGGAGTGTGCAATGTTCATCTCACTGTCTCATGGTTCCCTTTTTCCTTCTCCCCATTTTTCCATCTTTCTCTGCATCTCACTTTGCTACACTTTTGTTTCATCTTGTGTTTTACAGTGGGAGAGGAGTATATTCTTTCTTCATTAAATAAATGAATGAAGTTATAGAATGAATGCATTTTTGATGTGACTTATAATTTCTTAATTTCAGAGCGGACATCAATGAATTTTTCATTTGAGAGCAGACATAAATAAATTTTTAATTTGACAGCTGATTCAGAATTTTTGCAGTTCTGCTCTTTATATATCTTGGGTTTTTTTTTTTAAATTTACATTGAGCTGTCAAACTTGTGTCTGATATTTCTGGCCACATTATTAAAAAGAACCTCTCATCTTCTGTTGTTTTCAGTTCTATGTGATTGAATACGCGGCATGCGACGCCACATACAACGAGATTGTCACAGCAGAACGCATCAGGCCCCTCAACCCCAACAGCCCATCTTCTCGAAACTCCTTCCACAAGGTCCCTATCCCTGTCCCCGAAGACCTGAGGGACATGTGAGTGTCTTTTCTTTGTCAAATTTACCTTCTGAAGATAGATTTATTTCAGTTAACACCAGTAATACAGCAAGTTCAGGATCTGGGCAATGCCAGAGAAATTGCATTAAAAAAAGTAAACAAATTGAGATTTTCTTGGATGTATGGATACATGATTTTACATGTTGAAACACCTTTTTTGAATGTTAAGTTCCTCTCAAGTTGTCTCAGTGAGCAGTGATGTTATAATGGCCCACTGCTGGCAGATGAATAACAAGGCTGACTCTCTCGTGGATTGTTTTGTTATCAACAGCTGTGAAAATGACAACATTCACAAAGACTTCAGGAAAGCTATCGGAGCCAACTGCATCTTCTACAGTGCCCAATCACACGAACTCATTGTACTGGTAAGTACCCAGACTGCTGGTTTCCACCTTGTGAACAAGTTAATTGGCCTTATTTTATAGTCACAAATGAGGAAATGATATAAAGGAACTGACTCTTACATTAAAATCATGAAGTAGTTTTCTGGGTTTTCTTTAGGTATTGTTTAAATTTGAATCCAAATAATGCTGCATATTGTATATCATAGCTTCCTCTTTCTACCATGTGTAGGTGTTATGGCAAAATTTTTAATCCACATTTTTGACAACTTTGTCAGTTCTTATTAAAGACTCCTCTTCTGTGCTCATATTCACAAACAGTGACTAAACAATAATTCAGTGAATTGTAACTTATTTCCTTTTTTGTTTTCTTCAGTCTACAAATGAAACCACAGTAAAGCGTGCAACTCTCCTGAGTGACATGCATTTCCGCAGCATCCGTACCAAGCTTATGCTAATGTCCCGCAACGAAGAAGCCACCAAACATCTGGAGGTAATCAGACTATTTTTACATGCGCATGCACACATCCTGTCAAATACACTTTAAGGGATAGTTTGGATCTTTTGAAGTGGGGTTGAATGGGGTACTCATCCATACCTGGTCATTGTATTACAGTAGAGGCCTGTCAGTGCCGACACGGAAGCTAAGTACTGCTGTACTGCTGTGGACAGGGACAGCAGCAAAATGTAGTTAGCCACCTAATGAAATCTGTAACAGTTTAAGTATACGCTATATTGAGAGTCTTTTTACCATTTAACCTGCTGTCATACATACATCCCCTTCCAAAGGGGAAGCCATTAACTGTTTCAGTTCCACATCCATGCTCTTGTCAAAGCCACCAAACTCCATTTACAAAGACCGCCATTTTGGCTCGCTGAACACAGGAGCTGCTGGTCTATCTCTGCGTTGGTCAGTTAGTTAGTGTTATTGTGTGACTTGATTTCAAGCTAACCTTTTTAAATGCCAAAGTCAAAAACAAACACAAACAAAACAACTGACCAAAGCAGCGATAGACCCGCGTTTAGGGATGTGAAATGTTTTTCTCTATGGAATCTGGCATTGAAGAAAGCGATATATCAGCTTCAGTTGCCTTTCAGAAATGGCTGTCTGACAGCAAGGTAATGTGGTGAAAATATTCTTAATATGGCACTTTAACTGACAATGACGTTTTCTTTTTTGGTGGCTAAAATATGTGTTTTTGCCGATCCCTCCAAAGCAGTACATGCTTTGCTTCTGTGTCGGTGTTTCTTTCCGCTTCTCCAAACTAGGGGCGTGCTGACTGCTATCTACTGTAGTTAATACACTTACTATGTGTAAGTACCTCATACACCTCACTTCAGGAAATCCAAACTATTCCTTTATTTTGCCTGTACACGTGTATATTTATCATTGAAAAATTACAGGCCCTAGCCAGCCATTTTTCTGAGTTTACACATTTGCATACAAACCACTTATGTGTTTCCCCTCTCAGACAAGTAAGCAGTTAGCATCTGCGTACCAGGAGGAGGTGAGGGTCAGGGAGGACCTGATGGGCCTCGCCATCGGCTCCCATGGTGCCAACATCCAGCAGGCAAGGAAGGTACCTGGTGTCACAGCTATCGAGCTGGAGGAGGAAAGCTGCACATTCAGGATCTACGGAGAGGTATGCTGCTTAATGAGCCTATGTGCCATTAAATGTCCTGGGTATATCAGTTCTTACCCAGTATATGGAAAGATATGCTGAAGATATGCTGCAGTGTAATTTGGTCTAATGTTTGTGTTGTGTTGCAGACTCCAGAGGCAGTAAAGCAGGCTAGAGAGTATCTTGAGTTCAAAGAAGACTACTTTCAGGTACCCAGGAACCTTGTAGGTGAGTGAGCTACATTCTTGAGGGAGTTCATTTTGTTGGTGACGGCAACATACCACTTCACATACTCCTGTTAGGGATACACTGTTGTATAGGCCGCACAACATTATCAGTTTATATTTGCCTTGTTGACTGCCATTGGCATATTGGCAAACAAGAAGACTTTTTTCTGTTGTGTCACTTCAATTTTGCACAGGCTAAGACGCAGGGCTCAAGACTAACGACGTACGATCATTTTGGGGACAATAGAAAAGGTGTTTGTGTCAAACAGACTTTTTCCGCGGGACTCCTTCGGAATGAAAGGGCGCAGTAAACTCACTACCGTCAGGTCTGGGGACGTGCCGCTTGTTTCCATACATTGTGAACAACAAATCCATGTTGCATAAGCAGTAGGGTTTGGCTGGTGGCAACAATTTTCAAACCAGTTTGATATTAAGAGCCAGACTGAACTGGTATATAGAATTTTACCATGAGGTGTCACACTTGACTCAACAGCTGCGTCCAAGTGGAACATAATGACACTGTGACCATCGGAATATCATGTTGCATCAGGTAACATTGGCGCTTTCTGTCCACAATGAATCTATTAAATATGCACTTATGTTACGTCACATAAACAAACCACATAGCCATAAGTTTTGCATTCAAAGTCACACCGGAGACATAACCACTTAAAAGATGGGTGAGTAGCCTACCTGCTATTTGCCTTTGCTTGTACTTTTTCAACCAAAAAGACATTTCACAGCACAACTTTCTTGTAAGCAAACAAAATGTGCGCCACTTTTCCCACCTTCCACCTCTACTAAAATTTGATCTCCTTCATGTTGCCATGCTCAGTTCCCAGCCTAGCAGACACCAGTGGCCCCGTTAGTCCGTTCATAAAAATAAACATGTCTATCAGGTTGTCATATTGCTTATTACTAATGCAATGCCGGTTAGATATAGCGACGTGATGCCGGTTCAGCAGGTTTACATTAAAACAAACCGGTTTAAGCTTGTGCACTGGACAGGACTGGTAAAATGAATATCGACCCAACTCTAATCAGCAGGAGGAGAAGTACTTAACGTTGACTGGTAATAGCTGGTGGCCGCAACTAACAGTTTAAGGAGGTTGCTTTGAGTTACATTATGAGGCATTCAAGTACTGTTCAGTGAAAACTAATATTGGGCAAAGGTAAATTATTACCTCATCAAGATGGGTTCAAACGTAATCTTGTAAAATTTAGTTTTACCAACAAAGTTGAATGTTTTTACAGCAGTATAAAATATTATATTGAATATATATTACAGAGGGAACTATGATTATGTATAGTAAAAGGGCTTTTGAAATAGCTAATTTTTGTTTGTTTTTTCTAAGATGTTTTTCATTTAAAGAAAGATTATATTCAAGATAATTTCATAAATGTGCATGATTGAGTTTTGTGCTCATTCAAAAATAGTGTAATGAAGGGCTGAGTGACTTTAACATAGTTCACATTGGTCTTGGCTATTAGCCAAATTGTTATTTTAAACATAGGTATCAGCCCAGAATTTCACAATCGGTACATCCCTAACTCCCATCACTACACATATACACTCTGATATTATCATCATGTTCTTTAAACTTTTTTTTTTTTTTTGGTCTTCTTTCTCTTTTGCACAGGCAAAGTCATTGGCAAGAACGGCAAAGTCATCCAGGAGATTGTGGACAAGTCGGGCGTGGTCCGTGTCAGGATTGAGGGAGACAACGACAAAAAGCTTCCCCGGGAGGAGGTAGGCAGGCAGGGGGCAGGCAGGGACGACACTGCCAGCAGCAAAGAGGTGAATTGACCGTTCGGCTGGCCTCCCAGTCCCCTATAAACTCCCCCCCGCCACACCCCACACCCCACACCCACCCCCTCCGCTCTCCAAAAAGCAAAGCTTATTAACTGCAGCAGAGTGTAGAAGTCCCTTGTGCTGACTGCTGCTTTGACACTGTTCCATTCTACCGCTTTGTCTCTTTGTTTTGTCACTAGCACTTATGTTTTCATTGCTTTCAATACACACTGCCCACTGCGCAGCATATGTCAGTTATGTTGGCCGTGTGTGGGAACTTAGCTGTCTGTCGTCTCTGCTGGGTTGATATGTTTCTGTTGCTTTTAATCGTTCCAGAGTTGGTCTGTAATTCACCACATAATATGATATTTCTGAGTTAGGTCTAAACTGTTTCCTAGTCAGTAATATCTCCCCAGTAATGGGGCTCAGTATTTGAAGTCATGATTATCTGTTTTTTTTTTTTTTTTTTAAACACTCTACTCTTCATCTCCCCCTTCTGTATTTTACCAGGGCATGGTTCCCTTTGTGTTCGTGGGAACTAAAGAGAACATCAGCAATGCCCAGGCTCTGTTGGAGTACCACGTGTCCTATCTCCAGGTAAGTTGATCCTCCCATGTTCACCAGTAGATGGCGGCACTAGCCTTTTCTCTGTTCCTGTCACTCAAAACACATCAGATAAAAGTGAACTGCATGCTTGCAGCCATTTTTACCTTGACTCCATAAATGTGTTTCTGCTCTGGCTACTTAGTCAAGGAAACATGTTTCTTAGAAGCACAAGTCTTTTAGGTGACATGTTGGGTAAGGACAGGACAGGGTGCTGTTGGGAAATATGGGCGTATGTGCAGGGTCATTTCATATCTGTCACCTGTTTCCCTCCCGCCAGCGCCACAAGAGGAAAGCTGCTGATCCCACCTCGTTTTGCCCTTACCTCATGTGCTTTTATAAATAGCTCCTCTCTCTGGGATGGGGTGAAGGGTACGCAGGAGTTTAGATTACCAGCTATCTGGACCCTCAGCTTCCAAAAATAACACCAATCCCCCCATCCCCACCTGCCCTGCCTCACTTCCTTCACGTCTCCCTTGAGGGTTCAGCTGTCGTTGGTGGAGGCAGCTGTCACACTGTGAAGTGAGACCCCCAACTCCAAATCAGCCACCACTAAACCACCACTGAAACTGCTGTCATTAGATGCCATTGCCCACCCCTCTCATATGGCTTTGCTGAAAAATTTCCAAATTCTGATACTGCCAAAAGATAATCGTAGTATTTAAAAGATGTTAAGTATCAGCAAACATGATACACTTTTACCTTTAACTTTATCCTAGTTATGACTTTGTTTGTTAGAGCAGTGTAATTGAGAGCATTGGTTGTCACATGGGTGGAATTGAGGTCCAGGGGATCCACAGCAAAATGATATTATGTAGCTTGAAACCTGTGATAATGACTGTTCATTGTTTGTGTCCCTTGCCAACAACTTCTTTTCCCATCTTTAGGGTTCCTGAGATAAATCTTAGCAACCACGTGTGCTAATCTGTCTACTCAGTTTTTGCATCTGTGAATCAAAGGGGCTGAAAACATCTGAGCCAGCAAACACTCTGTGAAGCTCTTTCAGCTTTCCTTATACTACACAATGTGGTGCTCATTTTGTTTCTGTCCAAAGAGATTTAAAAAGTGAGGGGGCAGTTTCCATCTACACAGTGTGCTTTCACATCAAATATGTCATTTAAGGCACATTTAGAAAATTTTAGCTGTTCTCTGCCAATTAGAAAATACTGTCTTCTCCTAACCTGAATCCCTACAGGCTAATGCTTTCACTCAATTATTCAACCATAAAACAAAAATTTGTAGGTGTTTCAGCAGAAGTGGATGTTCTGTCAAAGTGGTTATGTTCAGGGTTTTTGGGGGGAGGTTGAATTTGCCCACAGTCTTCTCTTGTTGGAACACTGAACTTTACGCATTACTGCCACTTAGTGGTCGAGTGATAGACTTAATAACAAGCACAAGGCCCACAGCAGATGTTTTAAGACCATGGCTTGGTCCCAGCTCAATACAACAGAATTTGTGTGCAGTGTTTTATAGGCAGAACAAAGATGTCTGGTCATCGTCAACCAAATAGAAATTTGGCAACAAAATCTGTTATTGCTGTGAGTAGAAAACACTGTAATACTGCAGCTGACTTTTTGTAAATTTAATTGTAATTCTTTCAACCATGCTTAATAATCTGAAATCTACAATTTTTTTTTTATTATTATCCTTGTTTGATTGCATTACGTCATTGCAATCCTGTTTTGTCCCCACATGTGAATCACCAGATTTAAATTGCAGCATGCGTGCTTTGTTTCTAGTTAAACCTGATAATGCCTGTTGGCCAGATGATCTGCATACAATGGTAGCTCTCTTTGGGCACGCTGCATTATTTGGACAAATGAGGCCCAAGTCACCTTGTCATGTCTCTGTGCCGGAGAAGATACAATATATCCTACGTGGTAATAACAGAAATTTGTGGTGGGTGATATATCAGTTATACTCGCTGCTTACAATACATGAGACATTTACTATACAATGGCAACTTGTTCTATGTAGGATGTTTAAAATGACTATATTGCAAACATTGAGTACCAATTGTCATGTCATTTTTTAAAGACACCAGCATGAGGCTTAATTTGGCATTTTGTTGCATAGTGTGTGAGCTGGCGAGGTGTGTGGTTTTTTTTTTTTTATCTGCAGGGCTCCAGACCAGGACTATTAAGTCACATTTTGCAACCATGAAGCAACAGTGGGAATTGGAATTGGAGTTGGAAATATTACAAGTATATGAACTGGAGAGCTGTTAGTTTGTTTCCCACTCACAGTGATTAAATCATCATGTTTTAACGGCAACGGTGTAACCATTTAACTTTCTGCTAACTGTGAACATCTAACTGTTGATCGGGAGCTTCAAGTTCACGACACTTTAATTTAACAGTACTTTATTTAACTTTATTATAACAATAGTTTATTTAGTAGTTCAGTATTTTAGTAGTCTACAATAGTTTAAAGGAGATTTCAAAATATCAAAATATATATCATGAATTGTGATATATACAAAAAATATTGCAATATTATTCATATATCGGCCCTAGCAGAAATTTAACAAGGTATTGGTGCCATAAATGACTCACTTTGATAACTATTACATTTTTAAGACGGTTTATATAGTTGAAAGTGTTCGTCTGCACTATTATTTCCCACCCAAGGTCAAGGTGTACGGTCGAATAGGCTGCAGGGAAGGAGAAGGATTTCATTGAAACATTTTAATAAACCTTGTGCTGTCGAACAGACTATGAAGCACATACTTAAAAAAATTGTTTTATTGTCCCTGTCCTTTAGGAAGTGGAACAGCTGCGCCTCGAGCGTCTCCAGATTGACGAGCAGCTCCGTCAGATCGGGGTGGGGTACCGCGCACCTCCTAGCCGAACTGGGGGCCCCGGTGTTGAACGGGAGAAAGGGTACTTGACAGATGAGAGCAGCAACTCACTCCACACCTCTCGCACCTATGGAGGCCGCGGCAGAGGGCGTCGGGCCTCCAACAGCCAGTACTCTGGATATGGTGAGAATGAAGGATCTGAGAAATGATTTCAGTTGAACATGTTTGAGAGTAATATAGAGAATAGAAAACAGTCCTGTCATTTAAAAAGTTGTGAACTTATGTTTGATTTTTCCATTGTTTGTTTCTGCTCAATCCAGGCACAAACTCTGAATTGTCTAATGCTTCTGAGTCAGAGGACGTTGCTGAACGAGACCAGCGGCCCCGTGGCATAGGCGGCGACGAGAGAGGTTCCCGACGGGGTGGCAGGGGCCGAGGCTCTAACTCGGGCAGAGGCCGTGGAGGGCCTGGTTCCAAGCCTTCCAACTCCATCAGTTCAGGTAGTTAAAGCCCATGTTCAGGTTACCAACAAATGAGGGCCATACATTTCAACATTGAGTCTCATCTGATCGTACAATAATAAGATGAGAAATAGGGCCTAGACTATAGGTTTGTGAAATAGGACCTAGACTATGGGTTCTCCTAGGTGGGTCTTGAAGTCTCAATTGTCTTTACAGTTAAAGTTGGCCATTGAAGGGTATTCACAGCATGATTTTTTATAAAGCAATCTTGATTAAATGAAAATGGGAGAGTGTAGATGCTATGCTAATTTTCGGTTCTATATCTAGTGCTGAGGGACCCAGACAGTAACCCATACTCGCTGCTGGAGGGCGAAGGAGAGCTGGCTGATGCAGACATCAGTGAAGGCATGGGAGGAGATCGGCGCAGACGCTCCCGACGTCGCCGCAACGACCAGGAGCCCAGCGTGATGGACGCCGCTGCAGAGTCAGACGGCCAGGCCGGCCCCAGTGAGAACGGACTGGGTGAGAACTTAAGTCTCGTATCTCATCTGTGTTGCCTTATCATCTAAGAAATTAGAAATGTTTTCCAGGGCCAAAGACGGAATTGTTAATCTCTGAAATGAAAACCATCATGCTTGCTGATATAAGCAGAAATTATTATCTGTGACATTATCAGAAGTATTTACCTGTATATTCTTAATTAATTGTTAGACGAAGAAGCACGACCTCAGCGCCGCAACCGAAGCCGCCGCCGCCGTAACCGTGGCAACCGCCCAGAGGGAGGTTCAGCCAGCCGTGACAGACAGCAAGGTGACAGTGGTGAGTCACCATGTTTTACTAGTTAACATTTTCCTCCTTAGATGAACAGGATATTCTATATCAGTAACTGTTCTAGCTAACAGATTAAAATGTTTCCAGTGACTGTTGCTGACTACATATCCCGTGCTGAGTCCCAGAGCAGACAGAACCTGCCCCAGAAGGAAAACCATGCTGGCCCTGAGCCCAAGGTACAGGCAGAAACACACACATTGAGCCAAAAAAAGCGTTTCAACCCAAAGTTAGACCTTTAGTCCCAGGAACAACTTTTCAAGGAACTAAAGGGTGTTATCAGACCAAGTTTATCTGTGTTTCCACCACAGTCGAAACACTCGTGAAAATTAGGCAAATTAGTCTGTTGACATGATAGGACAAGGGCTGCTGGAGGTCGCAGGGGTGAACACATTGCAGCCTGTAGCTCAGTATGCCTGCATCTGAATACATTTTGAAATAACACATGAAAAATTGGATTTACTTGTTATGTTTCCTTGTTTTATGAATGAAGCGATACACGAGTTGAAGCAGCAGCGATGTGTGTGTTTAATCGATTAGCAAAGGTGTCTCTGTAAACCCCACCACAAAAGTTACTCTACTTGTAGGAAGTACTACCCACCGACGGACTTTTTGGGGGGTAAAAAATGTCCCCAGAATTTAATTTAGACCCTGGTCCCTGTGGTTGAAATGTAATTAGTTCCTTAAAAGGTTCCTAGTTCCTGGGGAAATTTTCTGTGGTTGAAAAGGGGCTGTAGTATTGTAAATCAGTTTATTGGTCCATTCTCACTTTTTCCCACCTTTCGTCCCCACAGGAGAACGGGACCAGCGCCACGAAGGATGAGCGAACACCCTCCAAGGGTTCCCCCAACAAAGGCATGAGCTCGGCCAGCGAGACCCTGACCTTGGTCAACGGGGTCTCGTAAAGAGACGGCCTTGCCCCTCGCGAACCCAAGTCTAGAGCAAGACTCCATGGCAAACTCTGTCCCTGCTTGCATTAACTTAAACCTTAAACAGATGAGTGAAAAGTACCTGACAAAATACCTGAATTCATACTATGAGAGTGAAAAAGTACAAAAAAACGACAAACGCATCTACTTAAAAACACACGTTAACGGTGTATGCTATCCTATCTATCAGTACTTAGTGCTTATTTAAAAAAAACAACTAGCTTGCCAAAAAAGAGCTGGTGGATATGACTTGATTTTTAAAAATACTGAAATACAAGAAACAGGACGAGACTTTTTTTGTTTTGTTTTTGAAACGGTTGTCTTTATTTGTGTCTTTTTTTTTTTTTTTTTTTGGTTCTGTTAATTTTGTTCATTGTTTATCACTGGTTTGGACTTGGCGGTCGCTCTCTCAACCAAAACAGACGCGTCTCTTCACAGTGTTAAAGTACAGACTAGAGAGATGTAAGCTGTAGGGAGTGGCGTACGAGCAGACAGTCCAATAGCTTATGTGACGCGATGTTCGCACACTGAACCTGGGAGCGGAGACAGACAGATTGGAATATTGATAGACATTGTGCCTTGAATTTGAAAAAAAAAATATATAATAAAAAAAACTTCAGTTTTTCCATTAAGTTTGTTTTTGTTTCCCAAGAGGAAAAAAAGAGGGAGATGTGTTCTTCCAGGGTTTTTTTTTTTTTTGGTTCCAAGAAGAGAAAAGACCTGTGAGGGAGTGATGAGTGAAAAGAGGATACAGAAAAGGAGGGAGTGGCTGGCCAACGCGAGGAAAAACAAGTCTGGTGCCAAACACGAAATTCAAGGCGCTTGTCCTCATTCCGAGTAGAATGGACAGCGTTGGGGTCAGTGCGTGCGTGTACGTACGTGTGTGTTTGTGTGTGCACAGTTGAGATATTTGGCAACCACAAAACTAAACTGGGAGGGGTGATGTAAGGAAACGTATGCAGCCCTGGGCGGGTCACACGGTGAGGCATCTCTATTTATCAACAGGCCTGAGGGGCGTCTTCCTCCTCTTACCTGTTTTGGGTCTTTTGAGGGTCCAGGGTGGCTCCCACACAGCCTTCTAAACAGGACAGGCTGAGACCAGACAGACGGCAGACTTGAACTCTAGATTTAGACTTAAAGAGAACTATACCGTGCCTCTTTTCTCTGTGTCGGAGGGGGTGGCGGTGCTAGCTTCCAGCCACACTAGTGTCTTGACAAAAAAAAAACCACTGCAGCGCACAGCTCCGGATGCACACGAGGGTGACCACCTTTCTGGGACAGGTGCTGCTAGTGGGGGAGGGGGCCCGGAAACTGCGGACTTGTGGGATTGGGACAGCTTCAAATGACATGAGAGCCACATGACACACAGGCCCACACTTACAGGATACATACAACAGGCATACACACCAGGTGCGTGTAAGTCGTGGTCGCCCGCACAGCGCGAAGCAGGACTGCAACAGAAAACTGAACAAAACAAGCGAGGTGTCAGTCTTGTACCTGGCAGTTTGGGTTGGCAAATGGAGTAAGAGAGGGACTCGAAAAACCTCAGTGGCTCTCTGCTCATGTTGTTACTGTTGTCTTGGTTACCGCTCTCAAGTTTTTTTTGTTGCTATTTCCACATCTTAGAAAATATGAAATAAAAAATTGAAGTGAAATCAACCTCTTCTCTGGAGACGAACTTTGATTTCTCTGTCTTGTGAGTTTGCAGTCTATTTTTCTAACTTGCATGGCATTTAGTTAACGAGTAATTAGGTGGTGCCTGTCCTGTGCATGAGGAAAGGGTGTTATTAATCTGACTTACAAAGCCATTGTTTCATTCACTAGAATTGCTGCTAATGTACACATTGAATGTCCAACTAACTGTAGAAACTCGACCTTGAAGAGAAAGAAACTATTTGTGACTTCAAAAAACATTACCCCCTCCCCTTCCCCCTCCCGCTCATCTGCCCAAGTTTCTATTGGTGGATACAAGTCAGGAAGGGACCCATTCAAGATTCAGAGTCTCACAAAAGTATTCAATTTACCAGGGCAACATTGTGCATGACAAGCAAGCGTCCACATGACCAAAGGTTTTGAGAGACAGATGAATGGGAGCGCGGTTGAGATGACCCAGATGCTGCTGTCATACATTTCTGCTCACCTGTATGTTGTGTTTTTAAAAGAATGAACGAGCACTTGAGTATTTGTACCTTGGTTTCAGTTGCATGTGTGCGAGTGGAGGACGAAGCCCTATCTGGTATGTTTGTGTTTACCTTTATACCTCATTGTGTGAGTACTGTATATCCTCATGTATCTGTAGCCCTCACGTCCTGTTGAAAGACTGCTGGCTGCTCTGTGTGTGTGTGTGTGTGTGTGTGGGGGTGTGTGTGTGTGTGTGTGTGTGTGTATGTTTGTGTGTGTCTGTGTGGATGCCGGTTGTACAGACGACTCCTCACTCTGTCAGATTTTGTCTCTGGTTTTCTCACTCATGTTCTGATGGCAATAAAGGACTTTTCATTGTTTGGTATACATCTTTTCTGAACAGTTTGTTCTTTTACTATAGGCCCAAACTTGACATAGCAGGGTTAATATAACTGATGGACTCACAAATATATATTATACTGTACTGACTTAAAGGGACAGTTCGCCCCCAAACCAAAAAAGCACATTTTTCCTGTTCCCTGTAGTGCTATTTATTAATGTGGATTTTTATGGTGTGAGTTGCTGAATGTTGGAGATATCCACCATAGAGATGTCTGCCTTCTCTCCAATATAATGGAACTAGATGGCACTCGGCTTGTGGTGCTCAAAGCACCAAAAAAAAAAAAAACCCACACATTTTAAAAACTCAACAGCAATGTCTCCAGAAATCATGATCTAGTTACACAAGATAATTCACAGGCCTTGTTGTAAGTTTTTAGGAACTATTGTCTTTCTGCTGAACCACACACGGCAACTGTATCACCGTGCAGAAGAAAGCATGTGTCTAGTGCTAGCTCACCTAGCTCCACTGAGCTAGCTAACGTTACAGCTCAGCTGAGAAGGCAACATGTTCTTACTTCCAATTTGCCAGATATCACTACTTCGTCAGTGGACTTTAATGTCTTCATATGATGCACAAGATATCCTGGATGCGTCTGTTGCAATCGTTCAGAGACGCCATGTCAATGCACGACTGTTGCATTGCATGCATTGTGTCTTTTCAAAGTACACTCCTGTTTTCACAAGAAATATGCAGTTTCTGCCCTTTCGATGGATACAGCCTTTTCAAAATAAACTTGCAATGTCAGTAAAACACCTCGTATTCTTATTTTATTACTTGTGCAACAAAAGCATGTGGTTAGGTTAAAAAAAAAAATCATGGTCTGGCTATACATTTTGGACCTGGCTGACTTTCCAGTTCCTTAAATTCTGTTGTTGTATGGCAGTGTTTCAAATTGATGCCATCTCAAGGCGTATCATAATGCTGCGAAAGGGTGTCTTTTTTGTCTGCATCTGATGCTAAAATCACTGACCAAGTGCCTGTATTTGACGACTTCCGAATGAGAATGGGTTGGATGCCATTAATGTTTACATGTCGTGCTGTCATGAGCATGAGTTGTACATCAATAGCTGGACCACTATCTTAGAAAATGGATGATTGTGATGTTTTACGGAGGCGTCTGGAATATATTTCATTGGAAGAAAAAGATATGGGTGAAAATTAACAATTCTGCAATTACTGAAAAGGTCCTAATAAAAGACCATAAACAAATGCTTTTTATATGAAAATGCTCAATTTATTGTATTAAGGCTACCATCCATTCGAGCATACTCAAAAAGTTGTGTTGAGCCAAGCGCACCCAAGGAGGCTAAAAAGGTTGAACCCAAAGGACACCTGAGCATATGTATTCCTTTATTCCCTAGCATTCTCTTCTGTAGCCTTTCAACATTGCAGCTTTATTTACATTGAGCATTTGTCTTACCCCATAGCTCCTGTGTGGTCAAAGACCATGTCCTGGCCTTCACTTAACAGCCTTGATATTACCTAGCTTCTTAGTGCTCAATGAGCTAGCAGTAGATGCATGCTTCATTCAGCGTGGTGATGTGGTTGATGGATATATATTTTGGTAGAAAGAAAATAGTTCCTACATGTAACTGCTCACAACAAGGTCTGTGAATTATCTTGAGTAATCGGGTCGTGATTGCTGGAAAGAGACGTGCCGTAGGGTTTTCCAAATATATGTTTTGGTGCTTTGAGCACCATAAGCCGAGTGTTACTGTATGTAGTTCCATTATATTAGAGAGAAAGCAGACATCTCTCCAGCTGATATCTCCAAAACTTGGCAACTCACACCAGAACCATCTAGATCAATAAGTAGCACCACAGGTAAGAGCAAAGTTTAGCTACTGTAAACACAATGTAGTCTTGTATAGTGACTGAGCAGGTATTTACAGAATCATGGTTTTTGTTTGACTGTTTCTGGACCCCACTGAAACACTGCATGTGGTGTATCTTCCCCTCTTTAGTAGATGTATCAGAGGTTTGGACTTGACTCACATGACAAATTCAAAATAGACTTGCAACTCGACTTGGCCTTTAACATCAGTGACTTATGACTTCACTTGAACTTGAGCTTTTTGACTAGAAAAAACAACTATAAAAATGTGTGCCAAGAATCAATTCATTTCCAAATTCAACATTAAGGCTATTTATTCCCAGCAAGTCATCACTAAATTCCCCAGATGATCCACTTTCCTTGAACCAGTCAGACAGCATCCAGTCAAGTTACAGGAGAGAACCATAAGAACTAATGTTACGTCACATGTGCCAGTTGGAAGAAATGATACCAAAAATAAAGTTTGTTTCTTACAAAAACTATGCAGTGGTCGACAAAAAAATAAAAAGAAAAAAATTGCAGTATGCACAATATGCAGGTCAACTACCAACAAACTTGTTTTAACAAATAAACACATTTTAAACTGACTTAGGACTTGAAACTCTCAAGTTACAGACTTAGGACTTGACTCGGGACTTGCCAGTCTTGACTTAGGACCTTAGTCCCACCTCTGAAATGTATCAACCTGTAAATGATAATCAGGAGTAAAGCACATGTAGTCTACAGTACCTGTCAGAAGTATCTGCTCCCTTTCAGACTTTGTTTGATTGTTTTTTTACAAAATGTAATTATATTTTTGACACTCAATAACAGAAAAAACTTAAATGCCAGAGAAAAATATTAACTTCTTTGTAAACCAAAACCAATAAAGAAAAATCCGTAATAAATCTGTGGTAAAATAAACCTATCAGGAGCATGATATTAGAATGCAATAGGAGAAGAGCCGTAGTAAGAGAGTCCAAAAAGAGGACTGCGAGAACTGATAACTCACCAGCAGCTTAATGGCAGCATGGCATGCTAATTGTCACTGTTAAATAAAAGCCACAAAACATCTGGTGGGAGTCGGACAACAGCTGGAATATTTCGCAGCATGGTGAAACTTTAAGAAACCTTATTTAAAATAATCATACACTATTCGCCCTTACTTTTTTGGTAGAAAATTCCTGTGGAGCTGGATATGAACTTGTTTGCTTGGACTCACAAAGGGATGTAGCCTCTTTCTGGCATACTTTTTAATTTAGCTTTTTAGAGAATACATTGATCACATCCCTGACTGTTTATATGTAACCGATGTCTACATGAATCTGGTTCGCTTAATTCTGTCTCATGTCCAAGACGCAGAACAATTAAGAAGTCACCAGGTGAGATGATTTTAAGCATTATTTATTTACTTAATGTACCTGTATTTTATTCACTCTTAGAATATCATCAGTCATTAATTTCTGATACAACTTTATGTGTTTGTCACTTCCCATCTTATTAATCTTGATGAACTGTCTAGTCTGTATGACAGTGTCATACAGACTAGGTTTCCATGAGTGTGTGTGAGTTTACCTTGACCGATTATAGTACTTTTCTAGTCTGTCCTCTATAGAAATACTTAACCATTTCTAGGCTTTTTTTGGAAAAGATTGACCCAATGTCTACTACAAGGGACATGTTATAAAACATAAATAAATGATTAAAGAGAGCATTGTATTATGTGACTTACCTACCAATGACTTAAATTGTGTAGTAAAACATTAAAACTTTTTTTTTCTGGGTCTCAGGAGGAACAGTGGATGAAGATTGTTTGCCTGAAGTGGAGTTCTGCCCCCTAAAGTGGCCAAACAAACAAAAACTGATTAATACCACTTTAAATATGAATGAAGTTTCACTCACTATAACAAAGAACACCACAGATTAAGGTGTTAGGGTGAAACTGGGAGGAGTCTCACCTTAGTCAGTCTTATCCATGTTAACAGAACATACCCTTAACCACAATTCCAGCAGATAATGCAACAGCAACATTCAATAAAGGTAACGTTACAAAATTTGGCTCCATTACAACTCACAAGTTTCACACACAAAACAACTGTCTCACACTAAACACGTTTTCCAAACAAATACAACATGCTAGTGTTATTAGCACAAGCCTGTGGTATTTTACATTGTATAAATTAACCTAGCGACAAGCAGAGATTTCCTCTGCTCATATGAAGGCAGGATAAATCCCACACAAGACTTAAAATGCTACTTGTGGGGGCTTTATTGTCTTCACAACTTATTGTTTCTTATCAGTGAAATAAAAGTAAATAAAAGGGAAATGCTTTTCAGCTTAAAAAATAGCACGGAGGTCTGCATTGTAGCGACTTGTAATTACATTTCTGGGGAGGTGTACATCAGACTAATGTGGAATTTATACTTTGCGTTGAATCGATGCTGAAGCTACGGCGCAGCTTGACGTGCACCTCCCCAGAAATGTAACTGCACGTCCCTGTGACGCAGACCCCCTGTCTATTTTTGTAAGCTGAAACCATTTCCTCAGTGTAAGCAAAGCTTTTATTTACTTATATTTCACAGATAAGAAACAATAAATAGTGAAGGCAATAAAGCCTCCACAAAATAGCATTTAAAGTCTTGTGTGTAATTTATCCTTCAGGGATTTATACTTAGGGATTTATCCGGACTTCTTATGAGCAGAGGAATTCTCCACTCATCTGCTTATTTACATAATGTAAAATGCCATGGGTTTGTGCTGATAACATTAGCATGTTATATTTGTTTGGAAAATGTGTTTAGTATCAAACAGTTGTTTTATCAGTGAACCTTGTGTTGAGTTGTAACGGAGCCAAACTATGTGCCGTTACCTTTGTTAAATGCTGCTGTTGTCTCTTTCTTCGTTTTATATGAGAAGAGGAAAAGCATGCTAACTGCTAGGCTAATTTATACAATGTAAAATGCCACAGGCTTGTGCTAATAACATTGGGATGTTGTATTTGTGGGGAAAATGTGTCTGGATAAAGACAAGCGTTTGTCTGTGAGTGCTGCAAGTTTCAGTGAAGCCAAATTGGGTACTTGTTTTTGAAACTGTCTCTATGAAGCCATGTTTAATGTGTTTTTAATCAACTAAACTTTACAGCACTTCACAGAAACATCTGCTGCTGACTGGTGTTTTGGAGGTGTAACTGCAGAGTGACACAGACACACCACTGCACAAGTATAAATGCTCACAAAGGCGTAGGTGACGCGCTTAGGGTTAGCCGCAAAACTATAAATCCCGCTAAAGGCATAGGGTACAGCATTGATTCGACACAGAAGTATAAATCCCACTTAAGAGACCCAAAGGACTACAAAAAGACACGAGAGACACAAAACCACAATGTTATGACTGCAAAGAGACGTAAACTACCACAACAAAGGTGTGTCTTGCTCCTATGCAGGAGAGGTGGTGGGGCTCTTTGCATATCTGTGCCCAGGGGTCCATTGTCTCATGATCCGTCCATGCAAGTAGCGTATGTAACCACATCTGACAAAAGACAAATATTCAAGAAAATAGATACACAGCTGATGTAAGAGCAGAAGGAAGCTACTAAAATAAAAAGATGATAAATAACCTACACAAAAATGTAGTCATTCGATTTAAGAGTTTGAAAATGTGAAAGCTAACTTTATAGAAAACAGACCGAGCCGTATCATAATGAAAAGCCTTTTGCGCATAAGACCCTCCTTCGTGCCTTCATCCATTCACAGACCGTACTTTTTGAGCGACACATCTATCCACCAATCACATTCCATCTTGTGAGCTTATCGCTAGCCGGATATCCACTGAGTCATTATCCGAGGAGTTTCGACTTCGTTGTGGCGCCGATCGAAAGCTGTGAGTACTTCGTCTTTTTTGTGTTTTTCTCTGTTTCTTTCTGTTGATTTTATCGTCACTGTAGTTTTACACGTCTTCGGACATAACTGCATTCAATTAAATGCTTGAACTGATTTGTATTTGGTCCGGTCACACGAGACAAAATGGCTAACACCTGAAAGCTAGCTTGCTAACAGCAGCCATTCAAATTAAACGAGTCTGGCCACCGACTGCCTGACCAGGAAGTGAAAACGCAAAAACTTCTTTGACTTTTTTTTTCTTTTTAAATTCAGCTGTATATGAAGTCGTGCAGTTTTAGTTGTATTAAAAGTTAAAGGTTAGTAAGGACGAAGCTAAACATGGCACCTTTTGACAGATTAGGTTATTGTTTGCTCTGGTGGCGTTAAGCCTACAGCCGTCTCGATTACAGTCTTTCTATTTACTGAGGATGACGCCATGGATTCACCATTTGCTCCCTCACTGGTTACTTTCTGTTACTAACGACACATGGCGGCCTGTGTTGTCTCTACCCCTTTCAGAGAAGTACACTGGAGCAACAATGGTGAAGATTTTTATTGGGAACCTGTCTGAGCACACTGAGAAGGACGACGTTGAAGCTCTGTTTACTAAATATGGCAAAGTGACAGAATGTGCCAAGTTCAAAAATTATGCCTTTGTCCATATGGAGGACCGCAAGATGGCCAACAAAGCCATCCGTGAACTCCACCTCCATAAGCTGAACGGTAGGCCCATCAATGTGGAGCCCAGCAGAGGGAAGAACCAGGGCCCAGTGAAGCTCCACATAGCCAATGTAGAACAGGGCTTTGATGATGAGCTTCGTGCCCTCTTTGAAGAATATGGTACAGTCAGAGAGTGCGCCATTGTCAAGAACTTTGCCTTTGTCCACATGGACAATGCTGATGAAGCCATGGATGCCATAAAAGGCCTGGACAACTCAGACTTTCAAGGTAAGTAAATTTGATATTCTACTCTATGAATGAAAGGGAGTTTTTGGTGTTTCCATACTTTTCATTTTATGCCCTTTTTAGATTTGAAGGATAATGATTTTTCTCTCTCCCAGGAAAGCGCATACATGTTCAGATATCAAAAAGCAGACCCAGAGGGGCACCCGAGGAGGAGGACTATCCACCTCCGCCAGGCAGAGGCTATTATCCCCCTCGCTACCCAGGGGAGAGGCCCGAGCCTCCCTACAGAGGCCGCATGTCTGCTTACGGTCCTCCTCCTCCTCCACCTCCCCCTCCACCTCCCCCAAGACGAGCAGCTTATCCTGACCGTGGCTATGGCGAGCGAGACCCCTATCGGATGGTCGATTACTATGAGAAATACAGAGCCCGTCCTTACAGCATGCCACCCTACGATGACAGACGTTCTGGCGCCATCCCCCCTCCTCCGCCTCCTCCCCCGGCACTGGTTAGAGAACGTCTCACAATGGGGGGCCCTGACCCATACGAGCGGCGTGTGCTTCCACCTCCTCCTCCGTCCTACATGGCCAGGGATAGAAGCCCCATCAGACGAGCCCCCCCTCCGCCTGCTCCACCAGCTGGTAACGGGTATTCCTACGAGCGCTCCCGGCTCTCCCCGGTGTCCAGGGCTCCAATGTATGCACCTCCCCACCCCAGGGACTCCTTCTCCGAGAGACCACCACCACGATATGCAGGCTATTAGAGTGTAATTCAAGGTGAGAACAGAGAGGTGAGATGGTTCATTACATGATAACTCACATTGATAGAAGTAGGCATATATAGATATAGAGAATCTTGAATATGTACCGACATAAGGGCTGAATCCGTAAATTGAGGTAGAATCATGCTTTAAATCATCACCATCAGCCAAAGCTCTTAATTCCTGCAGATCTAGTCCAGCCAAGAGATCAATATACAACTAAACATTGCTCATAGAATCCTAAAATATTGCTGCTTTTAAGATCAAACATCAGTCTTGCGCGAATCCTGAGTAAAACGCGCTCCTTGACATGTGTGGTGTGCTCTCTTTCCAGGTTTAGAATATGACAAGATCGGCGTCGTCTGCTGATGTACGTGGCGCTATACATCCCCCTCGTCTATGGCGGATTGCGTTGCGTTCGCCTGAGACTTACTGGAAGATACTGTTTTGCAGACCGCCCCGTATTAAAACCATATGATTCCATGTCTACAGTTCACGTATACTTCTGAGCTGTTTATGCCTTTTCTGTTCCTCTGCTTGTTTTACTGTTCAAATCCTTCAAATGTTTTGCAGAATAGGATGCTGGCTTAGGTGCTAAGTCTATATCAGTGTGCCGCAGTACTGTTAAATGGCCAAAATCACCCTGCTCCTCAGTCTTTTTAAATGGATATGGCCTCTGGGAAACTGACATCATTTCATAACAAGGGAAGTCATTTAATGATGATATATCTAGTCTTTGTAAACAAAATTACTGTGTTCAGATTAATGTTATTGGTTGATTATAAAATGCTCATCAAAATAAGTTACAAAAAATTCAGTTTCGAGGGGCTTTAATATGATACGTGCTGTGGCAGGTTGTACCGTAATCTGTTCAGATTTGCGACACATGTCAGCATGGCTAGTCAAAAGTTCCAGTGTGGTTTTGTTCTTTTTACTTTTTGTGTTATCTTTTCTTGCGAAACTAGAACATATAGCACCAATATGTATGATTTTATTTACTTTACAATTTTCTTTTCATTTGAAGGCTTTTTAATAAACAAATCAAACCAAACCGGCGTTTTAACTGTCAAATTCTTCCTCGTAGGACAGGCCTAATGTTCACCAGGCCGGACACAGTTAGTGCTACTCAGGCGTTAAGCTCTTTACACGTTTTAGTTTGATTCTTCACAGCCTTAAGAGGTATCAGCTTGACACATGGTAGGTGATGTTTTCTTAGCCCTGAAAATGCTGGAAACGTGAGACATTAGGTCATTGTTTGCGAAGCACCTTCCAATCTGCTTTACATTGAAATCTTGTGATGATGCATGGTCACCTGAGCAACCAAGTCTGCGACGTGAAGTGAGACATTGAGAAATGTTTGCGCAGCTGTTCCCTGACTGGCGACCTGATGATGCTATAGATGATTACTAACTTTGTAAAATGCTTCTTTGCAAACTTAAATATATACTATGCAGGATTTCCCCTCCCCAAAAAAAGTTTTGACTCAGACAGAAGTAATGCATCTCAGTTATCACTTTGACCCACTATAAGTGAGGTTCTTTTGCATCCTTGAAAAGGAAAAAGGGGCATTGAATTATAATATATAATAATATATTAAGAATAAGGCTTAAATTTGTATTATATAAATAAAAAAATAAATGTCTTTAAATCATTCTTTCAAAAGTCTTTTAAAATGATAAGACATGGGAACTAGGATTTTATGAATTGTTTTCTGATGTATATTTAAAGGGAAAGATTCACACATCCAGCTGTCACAGGTGTGTTGGAAAGAATCATTTGAGCCTTGAAAAGAACATCCTGCACACTGCTCTTGCTTAGCATCAAAATGTATTGATTGTACTAACGTTTAGGTCCCTCTGGACCTTCTTGACGAAGGTCAAGAATATTAATGAAGGTCCAGAGGGACTGAAATGTGAGTATAATCAATAATTTGTGATGCTGACCAAGCAAAGTGTGCGGGATTGTCTTTTTAGGTCTGACATTGCATTGTAAAATCTCAAAATAAATGGTAACATTGTTTTCATTAACATTAACCAGATCAGGATAGTGGAACCAACAACACCATGTATTTTATGCAAAAAGTTCATCAAGTTCAAATCAAGCCAGTGTAATCTCACATATGGAGTGAGAACCACAAAACTGTAAAGACAACCTGCTAATAAATGCCAAGTATCTCCCATTTAAGTTCTGCCCTCGTCTTGACCACAGTATTGAAAAGTCATGTTTTATGATTACAATTAACATTTTGGCAAAATTGTACCTAACCCTAATTAACTGATGTCAGTTCATTTTTTTTTTTTTTCTTTAACTTTGATTATTGTAAAATTGGTATTAAATTTAGTTCCAATTGGCATTAAAAATATTAAAAAGGCTTAAATCTAACTTGTCTAAAGCTGAAGAAACCCTGTAAAGTGAGTGAAAAGTGTGTGGTGGTGTATTTCTTTCACAGAGACTCCGCTCTATTCGGGATGTTTATGGGTGTGCATCCCCACAGCGCTCAGGTGAGGTCTGGACTTAAAATAAGGTTGTGTCCAGTTGGTGGACTGTAAGCAGCAGACATCCTACAGTGCTGAAAAAAACTGAATTATAGCGAGGCAAAACACCAAGTGAGAGAGAATCTGAGTTTGGCTTTCACTTTCGCTGTCATTATGAACAATCCTGTGTAGTAAACCTTTAAACAATATCATTCCCTTCTAAGACTCCAAATTAATATAGCTAATGGAAGCTTTAGCTGTCCACAAACCCAGGAGTGATGATAAAAAGGGCAAACAGATTAACTGTCACCTGCTGCTCTGTATTGTCCCTGGCACACACAGAGCTGCATCTCCTAGTAACCGGTGTCCATTGCCTACCTTGTGTCAAGCCAATTCATGGTTTTCCCACAAGTAAAACAATGATCATCTGAGCTTTGCGATGGCCCATGTTTTTGTCATCATGCGACAATTGTTCTTAAGTCTTAAATTACATTCTTCATTTCTCTGTCATTGAGTTCAAATTACATATTAGTTACACTCTACCTTACCCTCAACATTTCTAACTTTATATATTTGTACCATAAATTGCATGCAGTCTTGGTATTCTTAGTATTTGTGCTCTTTGTAGGTTGTTAGACTCTATGCAGGACATGCCAACTCATGGTAAGTCATCTTCGGAAGATGTGCAGCAATGCAGCATCCAGTAGAGAAGAGGTAGGTGTTGTTCAAACTTCTCTGCAAAACACCTCTTACTAATGCTACAAATAGTCTCCTGCCTCCCTCTTGTGTTTTTGTATTTATACTGCAGTGCTCCTTCATTCTAGATAAAGTCACAACTCTAAAATTGTATTTTCTGGATGCCTCAGCGTTTTTTGTTTTTTATTGTGTTGTGATCAGTGATGAGTGTGATCACTGATGCTGTCTCTTTGTCTGCAGGCCTGTCTCTGCTCTGGCAGCTGTAGTGGGTCTTGGAGTGAATTCACAGGAGTTTGTTGTCTCTAAACATTCCAAGCTGGGAAAAGATGGGATCATCAGACAGTCCTGAAGATAACGGTAAAGCATAATGATTACACTATGAAGTCCATAACAAGGATGTCTGCAGGTCCTTAAAAAGTCTCAATGTGCTAAATTCAGTTACATAAATGTAAGTCCTTGAATTTGAATTTGTGAGGTATTTGCGTCAAACATTTGATTGATTGAAGTTAATCTTTTACTGACTGTCAGAATGAGTCAAGCTCCCCTGCATCCACATTTGTGATGTTACAAATCTTTAAACTTACCACTTGACTGAAGACTGTCTTTCTACTTTGTAGTTCCACTTACCTGAAGGCAAAAAAATGGATCAATCTAAATCACTTTAACCCTGTGGGCCCGAACGATGCAAAGTGCGTCCAAATTCACACCTGTTCTTCTCTATGGGTTTTCTCCACCAATGTTCGTCATAGTGAGAAGCTACTCATACCACGTGAAACAGCGGAACCACAACTTTCCGACAAGACCGGGCACTTGTTGGTAGTCCAGTGTTTTCACAAGGAAAATAAATTATAATGTTACACTAAAATTATGTATAACGAAGCTTTCATACAGCTTTGCACACACATTACTCTTGGATGGATTACTTGCGAATGCAGGGTCTTACAGAAATGCCACGCACATCACATGAAAGCGCAGTACCGGAGCTTTCCGATGATACCACACACAAAATTGTGCTGTCATTTCAGCACACGTCCATGTCACGTGTATTTCAGCTGTTCGAATATCTGAGCCTGTCAGTGGCAAAAACAAGCACTTTTAATGGATGAGATTACATTGCAGCTTGCTTTGCTGCTGCAGCACTCTCTCAATACTGCACCAACTTCAAAAACTGTTGTCTCCATTACTCATGTTTGAAACATGGGAAAATGTTCAAAACTACCAATGTTGCCCTTCAAATTTAGGGGAAAAAATCCACAAGAAAACCTCACACTACCCAATGCGTTAAAGAAAAATGGGAAAGAGAAGATACTGGAAGAGACATGGATATGTGTAAATTTCAGTGGAAATGCAATAACTAATGTGCGGTGTGAGTTTGGGTGGGAATGTTTAAACCGTTTTTTTTTTTTTTTTGTTACACAGAAGAAGAAAGCACATTTTGCTGGAGCAATGCCAAATGTTGGAGACATTGTAGGTTTTAGGATGCCATTCACTGGCATGTATTCTGGGAGTGTCCAGTGATTAGGCCTTTTGGGACAGAACATACTTGCAAGAAAGTCCTCACAAGGTGCTGGCTGCCTCCTGAACCCCCCCAGTAAAGGAGTGGAAAGATAGTGTGAATGATATTCATGTTATGGAAAAGACTACTTTTTCCTCTTCATCTTCAGAAAAATGTATTTCAAATGTCATTAAATTCTGGGCCAAGTAGGTGAAATATGTAAGAACCTTACAGCCTGATTTTGTGGAGGACTCAGACAAAAGACTCTGATCTTTATACTAGCAAACCTCAGTGACGGTTTTTTTTTGTCTTTGGTCTTCCCCTGACATATATTTCATGGCGCTTGTATGTACACTTAATTTCTCCCAAAATGTACAAAGTTGTTAAATTTTGAAAAAATATCTGAACAATACGGGAAATTACTCTGTGTGTACCGTGACTTATTGTTAGATAAGCTGCTGTTGAGAAAAAAAAAAAAGTAAAAAAAAAAAGGTTTTGTGCATCAAATTTAAATGAAGATACCCTAATAACAGACTTGTCTGTCTTATGAGTTTTGAGTGAAGTGTCAACTGTTTGTCTTTTACAGGAAGTGGATTGGGTTCCTTAGTGAGAGTTTGGTCCATTGGCTGGTGAGCTGGTGCGGATGTCCAGTCCTCGGAAAACCTCCGTTGTTGAATCTGTGTTCTCTGCAGTTGATGGCCAAAACTGTATAGTGTTACAATCACTGGATATTGGCCTGAAAAATTGACTTGAAACCTTATCATGACCTTTTACACACAACTGTGACCCTTGTTTTTCTGTTATCTTTAAATTCATGCCTTTGAACTTTTTATGAACCTCATACTTAAGTATATAAGCACTTGAATACAAATGTTTGTAGCAAATGTGTTTATAAATCATCCTTGATTTTTAATATTAATGATGATATAGACTATTAACATTGTGTTTTCAGTATGAAAAGTTAAAACGGTAAATAAACACATTTTTCTCAAAGTGAGAACTAATGTCGTAGTCGTCATGTCTTATTCAAACAACTTTGCTATTCTCTTGTAAATTACATGAAATAATAAGGCTACAGAATCCACGTTTTACTCAATTCAGCTGTGTTGTTACAACCTAAGAAAACTGACAATTTTTTGTGGTTTAAAAAAACCTTTTTTACAATGTCCTCTTTCCTGATTAAATTAATATATGTTGAGCAACATGATGCTGTTTTTGTGACAAAAGGATGTTTAAAAAAAGGCTACAAGACTTAAAATAGATCACTACAGCTGAAAAAATAGCCCCAAACTAAATTTTATCTTTGAAAAATATGCTTTCTGTATTTGCTTAAGTGGTTCCAGCATGCACTGGGTGAGAGGCAGGGTACATCCTGGACAAGTAACCAGCCATATAAGGATAGATAGGCGCCTAGTTGCTCTTAGAAAGAAAACAACGAAGCAATGACACAAAGTAAAACTGAAAGGAGATCCTCCCAGGTCTTCCACAGAACGAGAAGTGTCATTTTCTCCGTTCCCTTTTTCCAAAGTTTGGTCACACACTGACATGAGTTCAGTTCAGATGAAGTGTTTCTTTAAGCACACTCCCATCTTGCTGGATTCAAGTTCTGAGAAATCATGCGTGGTGTTTAGGGTGTTGTGTTGCGTGAAAGCAGTTTTATCACCTGCAAGGTCACATTCCAAGCTTTTATGACGTTTGCCCATCATTTTTGTAGTGCTGCCGTTGTTAACAATAACGCTGTTGCTCTGCTTCAGTGAGTAGGCCTAGTAAAGATCTCACGTCCCTTCTCCTGCTTGTAAATTCAATAAAATTAGATTAGGATTTTACAACCAGACTGGACTTTGTTCTAAAACTATTAAAATGTAACACCAATTTCTGGATGTGATCCAAACATGATTCCCGATACTGACACACTCACCTTTGCATCTGTATAGTTATTTATCTGATCATGTCAAGCTGAGTAGAGAATCTGATAAATATGCCTTCATAGTTGACATCTTAAGTACAATGTTAAGTATTTCAGTCTAATTTAGCTTTCATTCCATTCCGTTTATTTGAAAGCTACAGTTACATATGGCCAGTAAGAATATTAAAATACTGCTTACATGTTAATGTGTTAATAATAACCAGAGGTGGGATCAAGTCATTGTTTTGCAAGTCACAAGAAAGTCTCAAGTCTTTGCACCCAAGTCCTAAATCAAAACAGGGAAATCCAAGTCAAGTCTCAAGTCCCATATTTTGAGTTAAGTGTTAAATAAGTCATAATGAGCTCTTTCCCAAATGTAATGCCATTTAAACAAATAAGTAATAATACCATAAAATTTCAATTAAAAGCCTAGTCCCTTTACTAGCCTGATGTGGTGACGCATTTTGACAAATAAACGCCTGTCTTAATTAGACGCCTAGTCTGATTGCCAAGCAGTTCATTATTGTGGAAGTTCATTAGGCGTATAGAACCGTGTTGTCAGCTTCCTCAAATCATATATCAATTCCTCAATTACCCTGTAAGTTATTCATATTCTTTTAGTCCATAAAGGTCCTCAGATCAAAAAGATCAAAAGGGTTTTTCAAAAAAATGAATCCAAGTTTTGAGTATTGTATTAACAGGATAAAGTGGTGTGTGTCAGTGTGCCAGGTGCTGTAATCCTGTAGTGTCGTAACTCACTGTGCTGTCTGTCGGAGCGAGGTCAAATAAATGATTCATAATTGATATGTTATCTGAGGCCTTATTTTTAAACAAGTATTAGTCATACTGGTTTAAATAAACAATTTGATAGTATTTCCTCATTTTTGCTGAGCAACAGTTTTGTGTGAAAGGAAGTAAAAGCCTATCCCATGTAGACACCTGTCCCAAATATAGGCCTGTTGATTTCAGTGATTTAAGTTTGTCAAAACAAGTGTGACTCAGCTCAATCACAGAAACACAGTAGTGCTGACACTGTACTTTCATATCATATAGAAAATGTCTAACTCTTACTTCCTAAATTGGCTTGAGGGAAAGTATCACGTATTTTTTCGACGAAAGTTTAAAGTTCAGGTGAGCTCACAAGTCATTGGTGTTTAAGGCCATGTTGAGTTGTCTTGTTTTGATTTTGCTGTGTCTAATTTGTGACTCGAGTCCAAGTCATGTGACTGATGCCCACACCTCTGGTATTAATTCTTGGTTTTATATTATATAATAATATCACATGTACTGTGTCTCTTGATATTTTTATAGTATCAATCTGATAATACTTTTGTTTGTAAGTGGAGTTTGGAATGTAGATTTTTTATTTGGAATTAAGTAATAAATTGTTGTATGGATACTTTTACTTGCTAAATTAAAGAAATGCTGTAAACAGAAAGTGCACATTTCCCAGAATTTGATCCCAAGAGCAGAAGTGTAGATGATTTTCTTTTGTCTGCATCAACTTATCGGTGTAACCTGAGCTCAAGCAAATTTGGACAAACTGGTTTCCATAATGTCACAAAGTAAGTGCTCTGTATTTAGAGTGTTGTGTATAAATGATTGCCATTGTTTACCTGATTAGTTGTCAAATTTATGGCTGATACACAATATTAAACAGCATTCACAAAAAAGACAATTTAATGTGCTCAAGTTAAAAATGTACAAACAATTAGCTTTAATACTTTATAGCATTTACACGTTAAAAGTAGCTGAATAATGTTAAAGTTTTAAGATCACAGCTTTTTAATCTACAAACATGAAGTAACAGATACAGGGTACAAAATACTACTATGATTTCACATTGCAAAGAGGGTTCCAGTCCAAGCCTGTTTTGACTCTAATGTAACAACTACACAGTAATTTGTGTTGCCTTCAAATGCAAGTCAGTAGAAAAGTAAAAAGTCACATCATGAATGACACATGATGGTCTCATCTGTCTCAAGGGGTCCAATTATTCTGGGGTCACCTGGGGAACTGTTGATCACATATGAGCCTGTGTCCATGACAGGCGTCATACTAGGCATGCACATGCATGTCTCTCTGGACGGAGGCACTGTCAGCACCTCAAATTCCACCTCAAAGCTCCCCTTGGCCTCGCCAGACTCACGGATGATCAGCATCTCATACTCTCCGAATCGGATCAGGGCCTTGTCTGGGAGATCCATCCTTTCCAGGTAGCCCAGAACTGAGCCGTTCACTGACAGCCGTCCCTTTTGGCTCAAGTTCTGGATGGTGAACAGCATGCCCGGGCTCTGGGGGGTGCGGTAAGCGTGGATGCCCAGCTGTTTGCGGGACACCCGGGCATCAACCAGGGCGTAGGTGCAGGCCTGGCCGTCACGTCCCAGCCTGAGGGGATCATCTGCTGAGTGTTTGCTCCTGTTCCCCAGAGGAAGCAGCCCGTACAGGCCCTTACAATTCTGCTGAGGGTTGTAAAGCTTGATGTGGAGACAAGTCAGGAGATCCTCCTCTGTCTCCATTGTCTGGGACACACTCATCATGAAATAAAGTTCCTGATGCAATCAGTAGAGGGTGTATTGTACCTATTGACCTTCAGTGATGAAAGGCTGCTGGGACAGAACACAAACAAACCTATTAGGAATCCAGTGAGATGAGGCTGTTTACCACTCAAAAGAAAAGTAAAGTAATACATTAACTGCTGCTTAAGAGGTCACTGTCTTACCTGAATGTTGAAGATAGTTTTCCTGAGTCTACAGAAAAGCTGGATCACATTGATCCTACAGAAAACACTCAGAGGGAACTAACGGTACTGCTGCTGCGGCTGCTGCTGAGAAACAAACAGGAAGACTCTCCCTGCCTGCTCTTCGCAAGCTTTTGTCCTCCCCACTCTTGAGTTTCGTCACTCTCACAAGACCCAGTGCAATGCTGCTTTCAAGTGCAAACTCGGAAAAACACTGTAAGCAGTGGATGAGGTAATGCAGTGGTAACCAGATAGGAAAAGTCTGGATTTTCTTTTCATTTTTGTTAACATGAGATAAACATGGAAGTTAGATAGATAGACAGATAAAACTTCATTCATCTCCGAAGGGTAATTCACCTGTTCAGTAGTACCATACCAACAAAAAACACACTTCCCCTCATCAACAATAAAACAGAGATATAAAAATAGACATAAAATAAGTTAAAATGAGTGCATTCATAGAAATTAAAAATTACATTACACAAAAAAATAAATTAAATTGGCCATTCCACAGTCCAGATGTTCAACAACTGGGAAACAATAAGTATGTTACCCAATGTGACAGTCAAGCAACAGAATCTGCCACTTCAACAAAAACTAACACACAAAATAAATGTTCAGTGGACCACCAGCTAAAATTACAAATGTTTTTACCAAAGAGTAATTTAAATCAGTTTTCATGCCAGGTCATTGGCTTCACTTTAGAAGCAACACAAACAATAAATTTGTTAGCGGATTAACAGAGAATTAATCTACAATTTTGATTATTGTTGAATCTTCATTTGTCAGGCTAAATGCCAACATTTACTGGTTCATGCTTCTCAAAGATGAGCTTTTGCTGCTTTCTCTGTTTTGTAATGTTCTGAATGGGTTTCAGACACAAGAGACAGAATAATAGTAAAATAAAGAGGTCATCTTGAGTATAAAATGAGATTGATAAAACTATACTCACTGCTAACTTTGTGGCACTGTTTACTTTTTACTTTTATCATCGAATAGTTCATGAATGGATTGCTGTTCCCTAACATACGATTTTAAGATGAGCACCTGAACGTAGCATTGCAGCACCGAAAATTCCCCGATGATGCAACTTGAAACCGAAAGGAAGGAAGTCACCACAAGACTTTATATTTATTACTGACCATGCCCACCAACCATAGCGGGAAACTAAGCCCTGCTATAAAATGAAGTTGTTACACGTTAACGCGTGGCCGTTGATTTCGAGAAGTGGTTATTAACTTGAATTCCTTTTGCATTTCTAAGCAGTGAGAAGTGATGATATTGATTATTAAACTCTTACCAAACTTGGACAGGAATGGAAGGGGAGTGGAAGGGGATTTCGGATAAGACAGGGCTAAACATGCCGTGCCGTTAACTTTCTAATGCTTAAGGTGAAGTCAAGTAGGCCTAATTTGAGATACTGGTACCTAAAAAAACCCACCTACAATTCTGAAGTGTTACTTTTATATTTTGTTATGGATCTCATTTATATTTCTATAAAGGGATTAAATTGCCAAATAAAACATTAAGGAATCTTTGGATATTCCACACATCAAGAACCCCTCACTCCGATGACATATTTGGGTAAAGTGGGACAGTCAAGTCCATTTGTTAGTTCAGTCATTAATTCATAAAATCATTATCTTACCTAACTAGTCAATAAGAAAAAGATTGTCCAGCTTTTCTGCCGTTCTTTCCCTTTTTCTTTTGCTGCCTGTTTCCTTGGTGCAGTATCGTCTACAATGAAATCAATCAATTAATCAATCAATCAATCAATCAGTCAATTTTATTTATAAAGCCAAATATCACAAATCACAATTTGCCTCACAGGGCTTTACAGCATACAACATCCCTCTGTCTTTGGACCCTCACAGCGGATAAGGAACCCCCCCCCCCCTATAAAACCCTTTAACAGGGAAAAAAAATCTAGAAACCTCAGGAAGAGCAGCTGAGGAGGGATCCCTCTCCCAGGACAGACAGACGTGCAATAGATGTCATACAGAACAGACCATATTAACGAATTTGCAGTAGTAATCCGTATGACAAAATGATTCATAAAGAGAGACAGAGACAGAGAGAGATGCAGGACAGACAGTAATGACAGTAGCTTACAACAACATTAATGAAAGTAGTAATATTATAATGATAATTGTGGCTATTGTGGTACAATATGTTGTAAGTATATATTAATATATGGTAGTATATGTATGTGACAATACATGTGTGCATGTGTGTGCTTGCACGGGGCTGACATGAACTCACTGCAGCACCTTTAATAGTTTTTAAATGACAAAAATACTTAAAATGTCTGTCATATCAAAGGGTGGCACATAAAAGTATAAATTATGATTTTATGGCACCTGGTAGCCATAAACATCTGGTTTCACTGTAGAAAATTGTCCCATTTTAGCAGAATTTTATGTACCATTTTACATGAATGCATTTAGTACTCATTCAAAACCCTTTCCCATATAAATTAGTGTATTGTGTGGCAGGTGGCACAAAAATGGAGGTGCACCAGGCAGTGATGCCTTTAATATATGGTTACCTGCAGGGGGAAGGGAGGCTGGTGCGATGAGACAGGTGCACATCTCATCCCATGCTGGTGTGTTGGGACGACTGGGACAGTGAAATGCAGAAAAACTGGCCTGCTTCCCTGCTTTGTTGAAGGTGCCTGGTAGACGGTAGGAAAGTAGATCGATGTACCAGAACATCAGTGGTGCATTAGCTGCTCTTGCCATGGGACCGTTATGCTATTTGGTTTTCTTTGTTTTTTTTCTACGTCTAGTCTGCCCTGGCAAATGAGCTGGTAATGGGCAAGAAGATGGGGGGTGTTGCCCTTGGGGCGGACTAGTTTTCTTTCTTTAATTGTTGGTTTTTGTTCACTTTATCTGCCTGCTCCCTTCTTTAAACCCAGTCAGATGGTTATGGAAAGCTTAAGGTGTGCTGTGTGTGTTAGCACTTCAAGTGCAAGACATATTGATTGCAGTGTGCACTGGTGTGACAGTGGAACTTAAACCCTGCCCTGTAAGGTAGGGTAAACCCCGAGGAGGGTAAGGTGGGAGAATATAGATTGTAAAGTCAAGCTTCTGTAATAAAAAGACTGTTTCTCCCTTACTTCATTTCTTGTCATTTCTTATGCCAGAGACCTGTAGTGGGTGCAACAATTTAAGAAAAATATTTTCATTATCAGTCATTTTTTTCTTTAAATGCAACTTCCTATAACTACGTATTTGTTGTTATACCCTCATTGTGTTAGCTACAGTGCTTTTATTACCAAAAAGAGGAAATCAACATGCCACATGGCTTCTCTTACATGTTCTACTCCCAGTAATTTTTTGACTTTTTTTGGGCAGAACGCCCATCCTAGTAATCTCAGACCAATCAAAAATGATTGTAACATATAAGGACACTTGTAACAATGCAATAGCATGTTTGGTGATTGGCAACTGATATTTAAAGAGCCCAAGATGTAAAACCTTATTTGTCCCATTTTACCTGATGTCCCACTTTACCTGACTTTACCCTACAGAACTGGACATAAGTATATGACACACAGTCATTCAGTTAGCACGGGTTAGAAAATGTGTCGAATAATCATTTATGTAGGCAAAAACAAGGTGGGTACGGTCGCTAAACGTTTGTTGTCATTAACCATAAAACCCAAACCAAAACGAATACTATACCCTCCTGGACAGTGAGTGGCGGTGTGGTGATTCAGAAAAAAGACACATGAAGAAGAAGGGGAAAAGGGCAGACAAAAAGCAGACGGAAGTCACTCGGCAAAGTCAAGCTCCTGAGAGGGGTGAATTCTCTGTAGAGGCCGGCCGGCAAAAAGGTAACCTAAAATGTATACATCCGTGTCTTTATATTTTACATTTCACTGCATTTAAAATGGCGAATTATCAGCTTACTTCTGAATATAATATTCACCAGCTTTCCGCTTTCCGTTTGTACTAATATGGAGACCGGTGCTTTGTAGCGTAGCTTGAACAGCAAGCTAACCGTAGCTAGCAGCTAGCACTTGCAGATTTGCTAAACGGAAACCAGGAATTGCGTTTAGGAAATCGACACTGTATCGTTGTAGCAATAAAATTATCGGGAACGTTTTAATGTTGAAAGGTTATGCGTAGCGTTTGTTAAAATTATTAACTTAAGGCTTGTTGCGTTATTGCGTAAAATTGATGTCCGCCATTTTGCAACGAGCGGCCCCGTTTAATTCAAAGCTGCGACTATCATGCGAGAGAAAAGGATATAAGCACAGGGTTACTTCATGTAATAACGTCAGTAAACACCGAATGAGTAAAATATATTAAATATTTTGTTCTCTCTTTCCATTCCTCTTTGTTCCCTTTTCTCTCATTGCTCTGAATCAGATCTTTAACAATGGTGAAAATCTTTGTGGGAAACCTGCCCCGAGAGGCAGACCAGGAGGAAATCAAGGCCCTCTTCACTCAATACGGCACAGTCACAGAATGTGCTATCATCAAAAACTATGCCTTTGTTCACATGGATGACCGCAAGGCTGCCACTAAAGCCATTAAGAATCTGCACCTGTACAAGCTTCACGGCACACCAATCAACGTAGAGGCCAGCCACGGGAAGAACCAGGGCTCTGTCAAACTGCATGTAGCCAATGTAGAAAAGGGAGCTGATGATGAGCTCCGTGCACTCTTTGAGGAGTACGGTACAGTCACAGAGTGTGCTGTTGTTAAGAATTTTGCGTTTGTACATATGTCTAACTCTGACGAGGCCATGGATGCCATCAAGGGACTGGACAATACTGAATTTCAAGGTAAGAAAAGGCCAAAATGTGCAACAGTGAAAAGTGTAGTTGTGTCATGTTTTGATTTATTCCTAATAATTTAATTTGTTTTTCTGTATTCTTTGTATTTAGGCAAACGCATCCATGTCCAGATTTCTAAGAGTCGGCCTAGACACGATGAACGGGATGACTACCCCCCTCCTCCCCCAGACAGGGGTGGATATTGGCCCCCTCGCTATCCAGGAGAGAGGCATGAGCCTCCCCCACCCAGCTATATGAGAGGCCGTCTCAGCCATATCCCCCCAGGTTACCCTGCCCCTCCTCTGCCACCTCCTCCCCCTAGAAGAGCAGTTTATCCTGAACGTCCCTATGAGGGTGAGAGGGACAGGTACAGCGTGGTAGATTACTATGAGAAGTACAGAGCCCGTCCGTATGGCATCCCCTCCTATGAGGACCAACGTCCCGGCGCCCCTCCTCCTCCCCCTCCCCCTTCAGCCGTCGTCCGAGACCGTCTTATGACCTCGTCTCTTGACCCGTATGAGCGTCGTCCCCTCCCACCTCCTCCGTCCTCATACTATGCCCGAGATCGCAGTCCTCTCAGGAGAGCGCCAAGCGCGCCAATGCCACCCGCCAGTAATGGCTACTCCTATGAGCGCTCCCGACTCTCTCCGGTTTCCCGGGTACCTGCATACGGAGTTCCACGTGCCAGGGACCCCTACGCAGAACGGCTGCCGCCGCCACCCCCTGCACGCTACGCTTATTAAGCGAGGCCCTGACATGTGAAGGTGAGAATAGGTCTGAGGTAGACTGGTGTTCATATCTTTTCTAAAATTGCCATTCGTCCCTGTAAAGGCAGAGAGGCAGCTTATGACTTGTCCTGCACGCCACAGATCTTGAGGGGAAAACAGTTTGAAAGAGCATGCGTACGAAGTGCTATTCAACAAGTTGTAAACTCGTTGGTAATGCACATCTGTGCACTAACTTGGATTTCAGCTAATATCAGTATTAAATGTGTAGCATACTCCAACGAAGGCAGACTGTTCAGTCTGGAATCTGTGACTGATGAACGGGACTCGAGCTACAGAGGTCCACATGTAATAAGATGGAACAACGTGCTTTGTATCTACAGTTGCAGACAGTTCATTTGTGTCATTTGCTCTTTTTCCAGGATCGTCGTCCAACTGCGTCGCCGCTCGCCGCCTCCTGATGCACGTGACACTATCCTCTTCTGTCTGTGGCTGAGCGCGTTACGTTCCCCTGCGATGCTCACAGGAGGAACTGAATTGCCGACGTCCACGTCTGATTTTGTTTTTATTATTTTGGAAAAGTTTTTACTCGTTTTTTTTCCCCCTGATTGTTTTAGTTTGTCATTGTGCTGTAGTATTTTTTTATGCCAGACGTCTGAATTAGGCGTTTTTTTTTTTTTTTTTTTAATTTGTACTTTTACGTTTGGAAAAATTAGTGTTCTGATGTTGTGTGTGTGACCATAGAAAGCTGAATAATTTCAGCTGAAGTCTCTAGGCGAAACTTGTGACTGTAGATTTAACTGAACTGAATTATGTTTGGTATTAAATCTAATCTCCACGTTGGTTCCTTCATGTTACGCTTTCCCATCGAAAATCAAACCTCCATGTGACGTTGCTGTGAAAATTTAAACTGGTAAGACGTAGGTTTGACAAATGTAGAAAGTAACTGTTAGTAGGACAGTTACCGCAAATCGTTCACATGTACCTGTATGTTGTCGAACTTGTTTTTAATAAACGGATTTGTGCAGTTAATGTTGTTCACAGATGTGCCCCAAATCATGCCCAGCGCTAAAACACCATTAGTGTAACCGCTTGAATTGATTCGCCTACTCTTTTAGGATCTTTCGAAAAAATAAACCTTTAATTAATGATTATTCGTTCATTAATGATGAACACACGCATAGCAAACTTGTTAAAGTCGTCACGCTGATTAAAGAAATATCACTCTTGTCTGGAATGCTAAAGCTTTTGTCATTGATCAGCGTGCCTTTTTACATTGTCTTCTTTACTTCCAAAATTGAAACTTGTTCATATAAAAGCCCAAGTAAAGAAGGGCGTAACACACTCCAGCCATTCTCCACCAGGTGAGATTTCATAGCTGAGGCTAGTTTACCTTGAATCTGGGGGGAGATGACATCAAAGGCTGCTGAAGACCTTCAGAGTCAAAAGGTAAGTCAAGGGCTTTAAGGACTCCTGGAGTAGAAACTACTGCAGACAGCACATGCTCACATTTAACTTTTCTAGGTAAATACTAGTTTATTACAGAGGTTTGTAACAGTGGAAATACATTTTTAGCATTTTACAGGTCCTAGATTGTTTGCTAGTAAAGTGTTTTTCACTCATTGCCTGTACACAACTACCCAATCAGTTCTAAGTCTACAATTTATTGACAGTGTTAGCTGGAGAAAACTATAGGCTACATGTATAGTTGATAGGCAAAGCACATCCGGGAAATTGGATACAGATTAAGATGTTAAAATCCAGTACTGTTTAAAGACCATGTTTGGCTTCTGGGACAGAAATGTTTTTGAAATTGGAAATTTAGAGAAGCATCCAGGATACATAGGTTTTGTTAAGCTGGGCAAGACTTAAGAGTTTGAATTGATCAGTAAAGTTTATGCTAGATCTTGCAGACAAGCATTTTAAACCTTGTAAAACATGATCTCAAGTGACACAATGAAATTGCTATATTAACTGATTTTACACAAGCAGTTTTGATGGACATGAAAAGTTTACAGTACTTCTCATTGTATTGCTGTTTTGGAAGCTGATCCGCATGAATAAAATATTTACAACAGTAACATGGTGTCCCTGTTACCTAAAGTAATGCCATTAAAACTAAGTGTAATTGTTTACCCAAATGGCATTAAAAGAATAATTCATCACCAAAACGAGAATTTGTGCACCAATTACTGGTGCAGATGACCAGGATGGTGGTGTATTCAGTATTGTAAAAGTCATTCTGGGATTCAAAATATTGTCGTGAAAACATTTTCATTGTCAGTTATTCACAAAGTACAGGCCATGTAGACCTATGTTAATTCAGCATAAATACTTTAAGCAGGCTAGCAGATGTGCAGAGTGGATGACACTGAATAAGGTGGAAAAAATCTGACGCATGTTTCTGCAAACCACGGATGCGTAACATTTACTCGTTTTCGCTGAAAATACCCAGTTTTGGGGGCACTATCCTGGCAGGAAGAGCAGTGAGAGCTCAGTCAAAAAACAACTGCTTTTCATGCACCCAAAGAGCTGCAATGACATGCTACATCACAACTAGTTGAACTTTGAACTTGAACAGTGGTCTGCAGCTTGGTAGGCATTTTGCCGAGCAGTAACGCCATCCACCATCACCTCTTCCTACATTATGTAACTTAAGAACCACTGATATGCATGACACGTACAGATGTATTCATAGTTTGCAGAAACACACAATGCCAACATTTTCCTCTGGTGACTGGGCTACGCAAAATTAGGTTTTCCCATTTTTAGCCCAGGTTACAGATGAACAAGGAGCAGTCATGGAACTAATTGCAGTAAGAAGTAAGAATGGGTTTTAAAAAAAAATCTGAATTAATACATAGGTGACATGTAAAATTTTAGTGCCACAACAAGAACATTCCTTCTTTTGACACATCACTTTGAGTTATGTAAACATGTTTCCTGCAAACTAGGAATATGAATTTTTATATAAATATTACTTCAGATGTAATATTGATTCCTTCAGATTTCAGTGTCCTGGGTGTAGTTTTGTCTCCATTTAAGAGATTTTAAATACAGTGAACATGATCACAACACTAAACTTTCTTGTAGCTTTATAAAAGAATTTAATCTTGCATTATTAAGCGTACCACAGAAGTCTATCAAGCAGCCCACGTGCTGGATTACATGAAGTTTAAAAAGTGCTGATTAAGAGTTGTGTGGTTTGGTCGCCATATGCTGTAGGAAACATGCCACTGTGTAGAGTATGAAGTACTTTAAAAGAATGAATATACAATATATTTTTGTGGTTATAAGATGCAAAGAGCTTATGGATTCTGTAATTGAAACTTCCAATTTAGCTGTTACTATCACCACAGTGGAAAATAAAAAGCAGAGCACCAATACATAGGCATGCTCACTTCTGCATGCAAGCATGTCAGTTGTGCTGTGACCACACTGCTTCCTGTCAGAGAATGTTGATTTCACCCTTCCACTGCTGCAGGCCTCCATCTAAAACTCAGCCTAAGGGAATCAGAACATTCATCAACAGACAGAAGGATACAAACAGATACACATTAAAACTCAGCACAACCAAAAGATTGCAAATTTGGCATCAATTTTGTATCTTGATAACAAAATTTGAATTTTGAACAAAGTGGTGGCAACAGATATAATAATTAGGCCTAACTCCTCCAACATACCAGTTAGAAACACCCATTCCTGAGAATATGAATAACCATCTTATCTGCTCAGAGCTGCAGTTCCAGGTTTCCCGAGTCTATCTGGTGGCAGCATACATGATATTTGTGTCGAGCTCTCTCTCTGATGTAGGTCTGCGGGTTCTGTTTGTGTATGGGTGAAAACGGAGTGCTGAATAGGTCATCATCATAGCCTACATTGTGGTTTTGTGGATTGTGTTCTTCATTTTGACATACATATAAGACAGAGACAAATGTCAGTTCAATAATTCAATATCAGTGTCTATAAACTAAAGTCTGGGATTATCCTATTGCACTGGCTTAAATAGGAAGTTGTGTAAAAAATGGATGTGAAAATAGAATAAAACAAAGTACAATTACCTTTATGAAACTTTATGATTTTAACAGCCAGACATGAGGAAAACAATCAAACCGCCCAGGACACACTTGTCAGCTTTATTATTCCATCAAACACACAAGAAAGCATTTTACCAAAAGTTGTTGAGATCTGATTAATATTTAAATGGACAAAAATCTACTGCATGGACCTAAAATCTATACTTAGGTCCACATAATGAATTTCCTCAAAATTAAATGTTACATTGAAAGTATTCCATCAAAAAGCCAAATCAATTAAAAGACAGACCAAATGTTACAACAGTCTTACCTTGAACCTCTAAATATGTTGCATTGATAATAACTGTGTTTTTGCTTATGTAATATCCACAGAAATACAGCCCAGGGTCAGATGAATTCGCTTCTTTGATTTTGAGAAAAACTGTGAAGATGTTGCAGCTCATTTTTTCCATTTTGAAATCCATCACAGAATTTATGCTCAAAAGGCTTGAACTTGAAAGAGACACAGTGGGACTGGGATCTCCTCCTGACCACTCTGAACCAGATAATCTGGAGAACTGGAAAAAGTTTGAGCACAGCAGTGTGACTTCTTCACCAGACTGAACCTCCACAGTCTGACACTCAGAAACTGAGACACAGATCCAGCCTGAACCTAACACATAAGTATTTGCTTTCAATGAAAGAAATGGCACAAGTGAATAGTATGAATTCTGGTGGGTTTAAATTACCAGCGTTACATGCAGTTAAGGGTAATTCGATGCCAGGACTCACTAAAAGTGCAGAGACTTAAAGCTGTTATCAAGATTAAGTTCTTTATGGGGCGTATGACTAAAGCTCTGCAATGTAAGCAACTGTACTGTGCCCCAATAAGGATACTTTAAATGTAAGATGGTGGGGTGTTTTCTTAATTTGCCTTTGCTGTTGATCAAAATGATGAGGAAATAAATGCTTTGATGCAGAATGTTTGCTATTACCTTGTTGTTCTTCTGACAATTTTAATTGAAAACACATTTGCAATTGCAACAGAAGTTGCTCTTATTTACAAATGATGTGAAGACCTTTATTTCGAATCCCATCTCCTCTTTCAAAATAAAAGATAGACCATTTAAGTATTTTGGAGGTGCTGATTATGCACCTATGCTTTCTGTTCTCTTTAAAAAAATGTCAAATTCCAGCTGCCCAGATTTCGATTTTGTCTTCTTGTTCTGTATAAAAAGCATGGTAAATGCCACGGCTGAAAATGGTAAAACATAAAGCACAATCACAATGCAGAGCCCCACAGTCACACCGACAAAGAAAAAGCATGGACAACAACAAGCGCCATGACAAGACCCACACGCCATTTAGTTTTGAGTTAATGCACATATACT